CGAATGACATAACACATCATAAATTCCAAAAAAGGCAGCTGGAGCAGAAATATACAACCGTTACTTAGAAAGTTTGAGTCTATCAACCATCATAAAAACATTGAATAAGGCTCTTAGATGCTGATTATCTTCTAGAATTAATATACAACTAGGATTTCTACATTGGCCACGCTCATTCTTTGGCCATAGAGAAACTTCTGGATTGCAGGTACCTTATCGAGCTCTATATATATATATATATAAAATGTTAACATCAAGTCTATAATATTGAAAAGCTTGGAAGAAAAAATAATTCATGACGGGCTAAAATTGATCTCATCTAGACCATCAAGATATTCAGCATCCACTCAAGGAACAAGGGAGAGGGTGTAATATGGAATTTCATCCATCTGATTTTTGGACAGAGCAAGCATGACCTCCAGCAAATGGCACCAAAAAAGTTTTGGTCAAACATCAAGCTATCCAAATAGGTAGGTGAATATAAACCATGGGTAGAACCGTCAAACGGGTGGGTCGGGTCGAAATGGTCGAACCCAAATTGACCCATTTCCATACACTACAAATTTAGTGACTCATACCCGACCCGACCCATATTACTAAAATATTTCTATATTTAACCAAATCTAGGAAAACTCATATCCAAACTGAAGCGAGAACACAGAGTGAGTGAGCGCAAAATCGAGTGTGGACGAGAGAGTCATAGAGGTGGGTTAGGTCTAAGTAAGTTGTGAACCCATTTAATACCCACATTATTTTTGGGTTTTACCATTCTAAAACCTATAACCCATTTACTGAATTAACTAACCCATATAACAACCCAGTCCATCAAATATGGGTTAAGAAATGGGTATATGACCTATTTTCACAGGTTTAACCATGGGGTATGATGGCCATGGTGGGTTATGAGCAGAATTTTAACCTACGAAGAAAGAGCAAAATGCAAAATTGTTGCAAATTTCAAAGCACCTTGTATGCATATTTTCTATACGAATTCGTTCTACATATAGGTCATCCTGCTCTCCTTCAGTAACGATTTCATCATTCTTCTTTGGATCTTTCTTACGACGTGCACTTGACCTTCTAGACAAAAGTTTCTCAATCCTGCAAAAACCGAAAACTGGATGAAATCGCAAAAGGGAAAAGGTTGAAAAACAAGTTCAGAATTAACAGCTCAAACTAACAAAGTTTCAAATACACTCTTACACTATATCTTCTTGATTGACTAGTCAGAAAAACAACTCACCTGGTTAGTTTCAAAATATATGTCCAAATACGTGTGATGATCATGTCCACTTTCTCCATGAAAAAGTAATCTGTTGTTCGATCAATCCCAATGCCGCGTCTGAATATAATATACTTTGAAAGGGAAAATGATGAATGAAAATCAGACAAACAGAGAGAGGTAGCTCTTCTCAATTAGAAGTAGCAAAGCATTGCAAAAATTTCTAAGCGTATAAATCATATGGTCCAACACGATGAATGTATAGTGTATACCTAAAAGGAAAGATTAAACACCCCTAGACAATATGACCACGTTAGATCTTGATAACTTGCCTTCCAAAAGAGAGGAGATTAAATCAAGATGACGCCTATCAGCTAGCATCCCACTAAGTACCTTATCTGCAAAATCTGGAAGATTTTCTTGAGGATGCTCTGCAAAGTATCTTTTCAGAAGCTTCTTGTCAAGCTACATTCGGCAAACAAAATGAAATAAGCAGATAATATAGCTATGTAAAATTACGAGATATACTTAGCCTCTCTTTTCTTAGATATACTAAAGAAGCAATATCAATCTCCTCGCTAGCTGATTAACAAAATGCATCTCCCTATTCTTTTACAGAAGATGGATAGGCACTTGATCCCATACCACAAACATATCTTTGTCCCAAGTATGCAATAAAATACCTTAGATTCATCGACTGTAATTGGGAGATTAAGGAGATACTGGCCAGAAAGTGCAACATCAATTTCCTCATCTGTAGTAATTTTGAAGTTGCTCTTATCCATAACCTGCAAAAGGCGAAAACTGCATCTATTATTGTACTTTCTCCAAATTTTCACTTTCCAAAAAAAAAAACAAGAAAAACCCAAAAGCTATAGATGGAGTGAGTGCGGTACATAAGAAGGATTAGGTTGCAGAAGTTTCTGCTCCTTTAGCTTTCTCATAATTTCTTTTGTACTTTATGTATCACATCTACAACATCTACCGCAGAAGAGGACACTTTCCCTTCTTGTTTACAGCAGAATGCAAACCGTAAGTTACACTTGAGAAATTGTCATGGGTGAAGAATTGATACTGTGTCCTTTAGATTTTCTCACTGCAATATAATTGAAGCACACTGTAAATAAAGGATCATATTTTCCTAAATTCCTGGTTGGAGGAAGCCTTTTAATTGATGGGTAACAAGCATGAGCATCACCCATGTTCAATTAAGTTTTACATTTGCGTAATGTCCATGACTTGTTACCTACCAATCATAGGCATGGATTCTCCAACTAGGATGTAGGAAAATATAGCCCATAAATAAATTCCCTGCTATCTTGTCATAAACCATTATGATTTGTAAAGAGCCAATAGTATTAGGCACTTTCTTCTTGCTCAATCTTTATGCTAATTCATTCTCACGGGTATTCAATTAACAAAGAGATGGAAATGAATGGATCTTTTTTGTACAACACATGAGAGGCTAACGATCACAGTGGGTCAGTCATCCTTCCAAGTCAAAAATTGCAACAAATCTCTACTCACTAGTTCAAGGAAAAGTATACAGGAAGCTGTAGTACCTGAAATAAGTAAGAAAGGAAATTTTGCTCGAGTACATCAATCTCCTCAGAAGATAGGTTTTGCTGTTCTAACTTCTGAGTCCCATGCACAGGATCGAAGAGAGAGTAAAGTTGCTGCAGTTATTGGAACAAAATTATACGTAAGAACAGGGAAATTAGAGGAAACAACCAAAAAGACCGAATTACCCAATTAAACTGACTTAAAGCAGAAGTTCAGAAAATAGGATCAAGTAGAATACAACTATACACACCATCAAGTCCTCAAATTGCAGAAGATACCAGGCTCGAATTGTATATTCGACTCTCTTGCACAACTTTAAAAAATCAGCACGGTCAGAACTATGCTCTGCAAGAAAAAAAAAAGGAGAAGGGAAATCCAACTGGGGTGAGGCTATTTAAACAAGAGGAACAAGCAGCCAAAACTAGGCCAAAAAAGCAGCACAAGCTTACGGTTTGAGTTACCAATTGTTACAGTGTTAGGACGTGGACATGTATGTATGTATGCAGTGACATTCTATTTTGGGAATAATTCCAGAATTTCTAGATTTCAACATCTGTTAATGCCCTAAAGCCGCCCGGTGAACACTTTTTATCCATTAGTAGTGACCATAAGGTCCAGAACCAAAAAAAAAAAAAATCTCAATAGAAAAGGCTTCTCCTTCTCCAATTAGGCCACACAGTTCCTCTGCAAGTAGAACAATGTCTTGACACCAATACCTACTCAAAGTGTGACCTCGCTCAGTGCAAACCGTTCGTCATCTTCACAATTTCCGCACCACATGATCGACTCGCTCCTGGAAAAACACCCGACCGAGTTTCGCATGGAAAAAAACATGCACACGAACCAACGTCGTTCTTCGCCTAACGTAAGGCGGCCGAATCAGGACAAATCTCCGGCGACCTCCCACGCCCGCGGATCGGCGAGGGTGCAGACACGGAAGAAGAAGCGACGGCGAGGGAAGGGCGTACCGATGAGATTGGCCAAGGTCATGATGAGCTTCGGCTTCAGGACCGGGATCACCGACTCGCGCTCCAGCCGAATGACCTCCTTCTTCTTCTTATCCGCCATCTCTCTCTCTCTCTCCCTCCCTCGCGATTGTCGAGAGCTGGAACAAGAACAAGAACAAGAAGAAGAAGAAGAAGAGCAAGAAGAAGAAGAAGAAGAAGAAGAAAGGGCGATGGATTGAAGGAGACGTCGAGCGAGATTCGTGAGATCACGCGAGAAGTATTCTTTGGAAGAGAGAGAGAGGGAGAGAGAGAGAGAGAGCGATTCGTTCGTTGCAGCTGGGGGGAGGAGTGGCGATGCACGAAGACCTGCCGAGCTTTCTCGTAACCGACACTACTGTCACTGTGCTCCTGGGGGGCTCTAATCTCCGTTTAATCAAGATTAATTAACGGCGAGAAAATCATTAAATAAAAAAAAAAAAACAGAACGAGACGAAGGAGTGATCGGTTTTACTTGTCCATCATTTACCGCTGTTTCTGATTTTTAACTCTCTTCTCATCACTGTTTAGTATTTAATTATTTATATGTTTGCATTTAATAAGGAATATTTATTCTTGCTCGAGAATTTTAAGAGTGGGCAAACTGAAACTGTGAAAAATAAATTATAGAAAGAAAGGGGGTTTTCTAGAAAGAGCATTATTTAGCTGCTAATAGTCTATTCGTGGATTGGAATCATATGCTAAATTGGAATCGTGGGGAGTACTACTTGATCATTTTTACTAACTCAAAGCCCCCGATCATTATTTTAGCTCAATAATTTGTGATGACAATATATAGAAATGACAGCGAAAAATTTGTGTGGTTGGTCTTTTGAGTTGAAACTTTTTATGCATGGGAATTTCGGTAATTTTCATTACTTTCATTTATGACTTTTTGTTTTTCCCGAATGTGATTGCAAAGCGACCGGATTTTTTCAATCATTTGTAACTCTCGTTACTTCCATTAATTTATTATGCTATTTCAAGCACGATTGCAATATTTATAAAAATGGTCGTAATTTTTTCAACCGCGATAGTAACTGTCATTAATTCCGTCAATAACACTTTCTTTTTCAAATCTCAATCGAAAATGATAAACAGGACATAATAATTATTTGTAATGAATAACTTTAATCATTTCGTGAAATCCCTTCCGTTGCACTCGTTATTATCGATTATCAAACGATGCGTTTCGCCAATAAATTCAGGGGCAATATCAGGACACGCCATCCGATCTTATCTGAACCATTCAAATGTCCGAAGTTGCTTTATGTCGTCAACACACGCTCGCTCCCTCTCTCTCTGTCCAGAGACCAATGGCGACCAAGATATCATCACCTCCGCACCAACGCTCTCTCTCCACCCTCTCCTTCCCTCCCACACTCCCAACCAGAGACCTCCGCCACCACGACCGATGGCTCGGGACGGTCCGGACCTCCGCCGTCGCCCCCCGACCGAGGAGGTTGGTCGTGGTCCGGAGCTCCCTCCAAGAACTCTCGTCTCTGGTGCTTCCTCATCACGCCCCGCATTCTTCGCTGTTCCTACTCGCGGACACCGCGGGTTACTCGCTGGCCAGTTACTACACTTCCCTGGGTCTCTTCGTGATCTCTGTTCCTGGACTCTGGTCTCTCATCAAGCGCTCTGTGAAGTCCAAGGTTGTTTCATCGAAACCCGATCGTTTTCTGTTTTTTGTTTTCCTTTTTTTGAGCTTAAAAGCATATTTCATTTGGTTCTTGGTTGAATTACGAGTCTGTTCGGTGTTCACGCTCGTGTTTGATGGATTTGTTTGGCTTGGCTGATATGTGAAGTGGGGTGGTTTGGTTATGTGATGCAGGTTGTGCAGAGGACATTCATAGGTGAAGGAGAAGAGAGGAAGGCTCCGAATCGCGTTGCTGGGGAGATTCTGTCTTTTTTCACACGCAACAACTTCGTGGTCACTGATAGAGGAGAGACCATCACGTATGTCCTCGTCACTCTTCCTCCGAAGTCCTTTCTTTATTTGCTTATATCTGCATCGACCAATTCTCTGCGCCTTACATCCTTTGATTCACGAACATTGATCGTTTCTTTTTCTTTTCTCTTTGGTGGTGGTGGGTTTGGTACGAAATGGAGAGAGTTTCCTTATGATTTTCGCCACCATTTTTACTGCAAATGAAAACAAAACCAAGCATGATGCTCTGTTCTAAAAGTAAAAGGGATTCTAGTTAATTTGCTTCGTGTTCTTGTTCGAAGGTTTGAAGGTATTATGACTCCGAGCCGAGGGCAAGCGGCATTGCTGACATTTTGCACCTGCATTAGCCTTGCCAGCGTTGGCCTTGTTCTTACAATAACTGTTCCGGACATCGGTAACAACTGGTTTTGGATCACTGCATTGAGCCCCTTGGCGTAAGTGAAGATTGTTTTCCCCTTAAGAGTCCGAGTTGTAGTGCTCCTCATTTCTGAAGAACGGAAATCACGTGTGAATATGCTGAACCCTTGAAATGATATTTTGCAGCGGAGCATACTACTGGAAGCGAGCATCGAGGAAGGAGCAAATTAAGGTAAAGATGATAATGGCGGAAGACGGGACACTATCGGAGATCGTTGTTCAGGGGGATGATCAGCAAGTTGAGCAGATGAGGAAGGAGCTTCAGTTCAGTGAGAAGGGAATGGTTTATGTAAAAGGCATATTCGAGAGATGACCAACACCCCCGCGCTTCGAATATGACCTTACAAGTTTTGCGAAAGAGGGGTACCGTGGCATGAGTTTAGGACTTTTTGACCTAATGTTAGTTGCCGATATTCCATCAGATTGGCAAATTTTATACATAATTATTCATCAGACACCTGATAATCCATGCCCCCTAATCCTTGTCGCATGCTGGCATTCTTTAAATACAAATTCTTTTGACATAAACAATTTTCAGCTACGACGAAAATCAGCCGAACTACCTCCCAAGGATAGGACGAAGTAGCAAGAGCTCAATAAATCCCTAAAAGCTATTGACCAACTCTGATTGGCATCCCGTACATCTCAGCTATCTGCAATAAACAGACAATAAATTTCGACTCAGCAACCTGGTTCCATACAAGTCGAGGAGGCTCAACCTGAGCTCTGCTCAGCAGAGTGCGAGTATAATTATTTAGTTTAAAGCAACGAGCGCAGAAACAAAGACGCTCAGAAGGAAATATACAGAACATTTCTAAACTTCGCCCGAGACTGTCCGAGATGCTCAGATGAGACCAATAATCTTCGACATTATCAAAATATTAAGTTGATTAAAAATCTTTGCCATCTCAATCAACGAAAGGAAGTTTTCCGGAGCCCTCAACCAATCATTAGCTTGTTTTCCTCCAGGAAGCTGTAAGTGGGTACCTCCAAGTTATATGGTGCAGGACCTTTTCGAATCCGCCCGGAGATGTCATAGTGAGAACCATGGCACGGACAAAACCATCCTCCAAAATCACCAGCATTAGGCAGGGGAATGCAACCCAGGTGTGTGCATACACCAATCAATATAAGCCACTCGGGGTTCTTAGCTCTGTCTGAATCTGGCTGTGGGTCACGAAGAGATGACAAATCAACACTGTTTGCCAGCTTAATATCCTCCTCAGTTCGACGCCTGATGAAAACAGGCTTGCCACGCCACTTAACAGTCACGGTAGAGCCTGGCTCAATACTGGACAGATCAACCTCGAGAGAAGCCATAGCAAGAACATCCTTACTGGCTGACATGCTCAGGACAAACTTGAGGACAAGCAGACGGATAAGTGAGGCATAGACAAATCTACCACCTGTCAAGCAAAAGTAGGCAAATGCCCGCTTGCTCGGGTCACCAGGAGGGAAGCGCTCATGATTGTACTCATCATAAGTAATCTTTGAAGTGGGGTTCTTAACAGCAGCCACAGTTGGTGGAACACCAGGAGCTACACTGTCCTCCTTTCTAGGGGTCAGCGACTCTGAAGCAAAACCTGAGATAACAAATAATCCTGAATAAATATTCCATTACAGCATCATAGCATTTTTCTTCATACAGTAACTGGCTGCTGGAAGTCCGGTAGTACAGTACAAGCAAGATAAAGAGAAAAAATCGAAGAGTGAATAGTAGTACTGCTACATGAGGATAGCTCATCAGAAGTCACAAGTTGTCCAAACACACATCGTAAGTCGAACTCTCCTAAGAAGAAGATAATTGGAGATCATACTCCAAAAGAACTAACTCAGCAATGTGAAAGCTGTTTGGTATAAGTTGAATGAAAAATATAAAGTACAATCATCAGGTGTACAAGGGATTCTAAAATACTACAAGAAGCAAGTCCAGAAATCTTTCATGTAATTCAGCTCTTTGCCAATTTACATCCGCTTTCTCATCTTTCTTCCCTTGTTTTTGCCAGCCGCTAAGCAGACAATAAAATCTGGGACAGCTAAAATTATGCACGAGCGTTACTTCAGGAAAGAATAAATATTCTCGGTAGAAGCACATAGCTCGTATTTCATCATTAGACAAAAATATATGATATCTGTAAACGATAAAACGATATGAAATCAGCAACAAAAGGAAGTGGGATAGAGCCAAAATGCATATAGAAAGTGCAGCCACTGGTATGAAGCGCCCCAGTTTCCAGCAAACTGTTCCAGCAATCAAACCTACTTAACAACAACAACAACAATTTCAGCAGTCGGCCGTCATTGCAAGATGACTGGGCAAGAGAAAAACACAGACTCTCCATGTCGGCAGGAAACGAAATCCCTAGTCTGCCGTCCGCATTACATCGTCACGTAGAAAACCAGAAAAGCCACAAACAACCTCTCTAGCAGAGACACGGCACGTCCTATGAAACCGGAAGGAAATGAACGGGGGATTTTTTCATAGGAATTGAAAATTCCTAGACTCTACAGATGCCAAAATCAATCATTTTATGAAATTGAATGACGACAACGAGCAAAAACAATTCGCGAGAGGAGGAGGAAAACCCTAACCTCTGTGCGGCAGATTCAGCTCCGGTCTGCAAAAGAAAGACCCGGAGAATCCGGCGGATCTGAGCTCGTCGGACGCAGACGACGAATCGGAGCCGCCGACGGGGCCCCGGGAGGCGACGGCGGAGGCGGCCGCGTGGTTGGGCCTCCACGGCGTGACGAGAGAAGGGAGCCTTCTGGTCGCAACCCTCAACATCTCCTCCTCCTCCTCCTCCTCCCACGACTCTCAAGCCCTTCTTCGATCTTCGTCCTCCCTGAGAAGCGAGGCTCGCGAAAACTCGCACCTTTCGATTCGACCGCGTCTCGCAGAAGCTGAGATGCCTCGGAAGCAGCTGAGGAGATGTAATCGACCGGTGACTATAGAGCGAGAAAAGTGGGTGGGGCCCACGGATTCTGGCGTGGCACTGAGGGGGTGGTAAATTCACCCGCCTATCGCATTGCGACACGTCAGCTTCCGAGCGAAACAGAGGGGAGGATTGAAACGAGGCATGGGAAGTTAGGGATGGGCCGGGCCGACAGTATTTGTGATAAATTTGGTTCGGGCCAGAAGTTTCTGATCTTTGAAAACTTGGGCATAGCCTGATTGAACAGAGAATGGCTCAGACCGGACCAACTTTATTTGGACCGGTTCGAGCCGGTTATGCCTAGCCCAGTTTTCACAGGTTCGAGCCGGTAGCGCTAATTTCACCACCCTAAAAAACCAGGTGACAAAAGTACTTGTGCTCCCCTTTTTCCAATCACTCAGCCTGCTCACTCACCCCTCGATGGCACAATGCCACCTTTGCCGACCTTTCGCTCGCGGATGTCGTTATACACTTGCCTCTACCCTAGCTCACATCTTCGCCGGCAAATTTGGTTTGTATCTCTCTCTCTCTAAGCCTGTGTGCGTCTCCGCCCTCGATCGCCACCCTTCACTGCTTCAAGCTCCAGGCGCATGTTGTTGTGATCACTAGGATTGTGGCTGTTTGAGGTGGTTAGCCTCAAATCAACATAGGATCATGAGGTCTTGGGGACTACCTGCGTTAGCGAAAATAGGGCGGTGCAAGCAGAGAGAGGGAAAGACGGAGAAGAGTGAGATATCCATTATCAATTGCAATTGACTAATCAAAAATCGACGGAAAAGTGGTAACCAGCGGCTCCTGGCTTGGTCAGGAAGCAATGATGTTGGTCAAATGCAATTTGGCCAGCCAAGTAATGACATTTCATTCGTACGCATGACAACGCGGTGGAGCTATGGTGATAGATGATAGGGGAAACAGCTCGCCGGCGAAGTGACGATGATAGCCAGAAGGATCTCGACGGTGATGAATGGAATTTGCTCGTGTGGAAAGTGACCTTGCAAATTATATGGGTTTTCAAAAGATCATTCTTGAAGGGATTGCAAAGTTTCCTCACAAAGACTAGGTAAAAATCGATCAACTCTGCATTTGGATCTCCTTGAAATGTTTCAAGTTTCAAACTCTACTAAATGTCCGTTTGTTTTGCAAAAAAATGAACGATTAGGAAAATGTTTTCTTAAAAATCATCACTCATCCCACTTGGAACAATTAGTTAACAAAAAATGTTTTCATCATCAACAATAATTTATGTCTAAAGTGAGCGATAAAAATATTTTTCATTTATTCATTCTTTTTTATAAGCGATAATCGGTGATTATAGAGCGAGAAGAGTGGGGCCCATAGATTCTGGCGTGGAAGTGCGAGAGTGGTAAATTCACCCGCCTATCGAATTGTGACACGTCAGCTTCCGAGCGAAAGAGGGGGAGGATTGACACGAGGCATGGGAAGTTAGGGATGGGTCGGGCCGGTAGTATTTGTGATAAGTTTGGTTCGGGCCGGAAGTTTCGGATCCTAAAAACTAGGCATAGCCTCATTGAACAGAGAATGGCTCGGACCAGACCAACTCTATTTGGACCGGTTCGAGCCATTTATGCCTAGCCCGGTTTTCACATTTTCTTTGAGTAGCGCTAATTTCGCCTCCCGAAAAAATCACGTGACAAAAGTACTCGTGCTCCCCTTTTTCCAATCACTCAGCCTACTCACTCACCTCTCGATGGCACGATGCCACCATTGCCGACCTTTTGCTTGCGGATGTTGTTATACACTTGCCTCTGCCCTAGCTCACATCTTTGCCGGCAAATTTGGTTTGTATCTCTCTCTCTCTCTCTCTCTCTCTAAGCTTGTGTGTGCCTCCGCCCTCAATCGCCACCCTTCATTGCTTCAAGCTCCAGGCACATGTCATTGTGATCATTAGGATCGAGGCTGTTTGAGGTGGTTAACCTTGAATCGACATAGGACTGAGGTTGTGAGGTCTTGGCGACTACTTGCATTGGTCAAAATCGAGCAGTGCAAGCAGTGAGAGAGAGAGAGGGAGAGACGGTGAAGAGTGAGAAATCCGTTCTCAATTGCAATTGACTAATCAAAAGAACGATGGAAAAGTGGTAACCAGTGGCTCGTGGCTTGGTCCGGAAGCAATGATGTTGGTCGATGCAATTTGGCCAGCCAAGTAATGGCTTTACATTTGCACGTGTGACGACGCGGTGGAGCTATCTTGTCCACGAAGATAATAGACTTAGCTGAGAATTTGAGCATTGGTGATAGATGATAAGGGAAGCAACTCGTTGGCGAAATGACGATGATAGCCACAAGGATCTCGACGGTGATGAGGGCAATGAATGGAATTTGCTCGTGTGGAAAGTGAACTTGCAGATAATCAGGGTTTTCAGAAGATCGTTCTTGAAGGGACTGCAAAGTTTCCTCACAAAGACTAGGTAAAAATCGATCAACTCCTGCATTTAAATTTCCTTGAAACGGTTCGAGATTCAAACTCTACTTTGTTTCACAAAAAATGAACGATTAAAAAAATATTTTCTTAAAAATCATCACTTGTACCACTTGAAACAATTATTCGACAAAAAATGTTTTCATCATCAACAACAATTTATGTCTAAAGTGAGTGATGAAAATATTTTCGTTCATTTATTTTTATAAGTGATACAAGCGATCGTTTTTAAGAAATTATTTTCAAACTCATCAATTTTCCGCAAAATAAATGGAGCTTAAGAATAGAAGAAATAACATAAAGCATATGCCAGAAGTCAAACCAGTAGATATTTTTTCATAAATGTTCACCAGAAAAAAAAAAGATCAATAAACAAGGAAGAGTTAGGGGTAAGCATGATTTCAGGATAGAACTCGGAATCGGAAAACCAAATCAGTGGGAACATGTCCGTTTTTAGGGTATGCAGAGTAGGTTTCGGGTTCTACAAATTGAGAGACCACGGATATGTTCCAAGTTATAGGTAAGTGAAATTTGGAATTTGGAACACCCACGTGGAAAAAGTTTTTGTATTTTTCTTGGTCCATATTTTCTTGTGATCCCAATGTATTTTATAGCGTCCGATGATGAGTGTATAATCCGAAACCATTAATCTGAACTTTCATTTTATGATAGAGACTTTTACTTTGTTAATGTTTCGTATTCTTTGTGTGTCTAAATATAAATTGTAACCAGTGGATTGTAGAAATAAGTGATGGTCGTTAAAGGTGATGATTTATTACAATCGTTCAATTCATAATAATACGGAGGGAGCGTAAATCTTGGAACCGATGTTTAAATTCGCGATATGATAAGTTTCAAGAGTTGCGGGATAGGTTTCGAATTCAAAATACGAGGAATATGTTCTAACAGGAACCTGAAATCTATACGAGTCTGGAATCAGTCATCCCTGTTGCATGCCAAACAGACAGAAAAAATTTGGGAATCTCCCCGGCGGACAAGAAGATGACCTGCCCCTGTCCTCGTCGATCAACGAGCGTTTATCGTCTTCCGCAAAGTGCCGAGGATGCTTTACTGAGGAATTCAAATAAAGGCCAAAAAAAGCCCATCATCCGGCAACAGATTCCACATTTTATCCCGTGTCCTGTCTGATTCCTGACTAAAATAACTTAATTTTACTCCCGGCGAAATGGAGAACAGCCCACAGAAATAATGCCGTAGCGTAAAGACCAAAAGAAAGAAAACATTAAAATAATGCCAAGTGCGAGTAAAAAACAGACCTTTGCGAAGTCAGCACTGAAAACCGTACACTCCATTGCAGAAGAGAGAGAAGCAACCTGCAGAGGCATTTCCTCTCTCCTCCCAAAGCTCCGACACCTACAGACAAGGAAGGCTCTTGCTCCGTCGTCATCTCTATCCGAAGCCCTCTCCGTCGCCTGGCTTAGCTGAGATCTCGAGCGAAGTGACCGATTCCTCATCGGAATCGAACTTCGAGCTCGACGCTCCCGATGGCGGCGGTGTGGCCGCTCGCCTTCGCGCTGGTCCTCGCCGGGATCCTTTGCGCGGAGTCCAAGTTCATGGTGTACAACACCTCGGCGGGGATTGATCAAGGGAAGCTGAACGTTCACCTGGTCGCTCACAGTCACGACGATGTCGGCTGGTTGAAGACCATTGACCAGTACTACGTCGGCTCCAATAATTCGATCCAGGTCTCTCTCCCTCTTTCTCTCACTCTCTCTCTCTCGACATGTTTTTTTTTCCGTACTTAAATGGTGGGTGAATTTGAATTTTGGTGGCGTGATCGTTGTAGGGGGCTTGTGTTCAAAATGTCCTGGATTCTCTATGGCCAGCGCTCTTGGTGGATAAGAATCGGAAGTTCATATTCGCTGAACAGGCAAGTTTGATTCTCTCCTTCTTCAGTGGTCTTGTCTGGTTGCGCACGGAACGTAGGAGCACCACTTCTAAGTTTGTCATCGTTTTAAATTTTTTTGTTGTTGCTGGTTTCTTAGCAAAAATGGGAAGTTAGCCAAAATACTGTTCTGGGCCTGATTTGGTGGAAACTTGTGGTTAGTATGACTCGATCAATTAACTTGTCAAGGTGCTGATCACAAAGTTATGAAATGCTAGAGCTTTCTAGATGGTCGGATATTCTGAAGAAATGAATGTTCCGAGACAGAAATGTGAAAAATCGGGTTATGGGAAGCCCATTAATTGATTTCTTAGACTCCTGAGTATCTGTACTTGGGCATTCCTGCGTCTTTACGTGATTGCTATTGTTGTTCAGCAGATCAAATGTTTGAACTATCCGTCAAATAGCAAGTCCATATTGCTAACTCTGAGTATCAGTCTGAGTCTAGGTTTTTCTGATTGGAAGGCTGAAAGTCAGGTAGCTTTGAGTAATTTTGATTTGGGTGCCCATTCTTTTTTTCTTTTTTTTTTGAAGTTACTACTGAAGACTCATACGCTTCCCAGGTCAAACATGTGTTCTGTTGTTTGAAGTCATTAGCTTGGGGATGAATTGATTTAAACCATGTTTTCACGAAGGTTACCCTTAACTGAACGAAAGGATGAATAAGGAAAACTTCTTTGACTCTCGTATCATATTAGTTGGTGAACTTTCATGCAGGCATTTTTCCAGCGGTGGTGGAGAAATCAAGGCGAAACAGTCCAGAATATTGTCAGGCAACTTGTCAATTCTGGTCAACTGGAGCTCATGTAAGATAGTGTGCTGCCAAGTTATTAGATTTGAACCTTTTGTGCTTTTTGACAACTAGACACAATCAAGAAGAGCAGCTGTTTGAACCTGATTTTTGTTTTCACTGCTTAAGAATACCCAGCTCAATTTTCTTAGGGCTCAATGCTACTAATTTCATTACTCTAGTGAGTTTTGTTTATAATATTATGGAAAAAAAATACTTGAGGGCATATTTTACTTTCACGGCCGAATGGATAACTGAGGATCTAGGAACTTGATAGTGCTTTTCTACATCTCTTATTATTAAGCTTTGGATGCTTTGCTTCAAACTTGACCATACTCTTGTTGCAGAAATGGTGGCATGTGCATGCATGATGAAGCCGTGCCGCATTACATTGATATGATTGATCAGACAACTCTCGGTCATCGTTTCATCAAGGAGGAGTTTGGTGTGACTCCCAGAATTGGCTGGCAGATTGATCCATTTGGTCATTCTGCGGTACAAGCTTACTTGTTAGGAGCAGAGGTAAGTTTATCAATGCGACTCCACCTTGTTTCTTAACGAAAAATTTCTATACCACGCCTAAGTTATGGCATAATAAGCGAGAAAATTAACGAACGTGAACTGTCTGAGGATGCTTATATAGGCAGTCAACACTGTACATGCCTAGCTGTTATCATGATTGACCGTTTCTCATGACAAATATGCCCCCCTTTTTTAATCCCCTCTTATGTAGTAAATTGGTATAGACTATAAACAGTCAATCTTATCTATTATTTGCTTAGGTTGGGTTCGACTCGTTTTTCTATGGCCGCATAGATTATCAAGACAGGGCAAAACGTAAAGATGAGAAGAGTCTTGAAGTAATTTGGCGAGGTTCTAAGAGCCTTGGTTCATCTGCTCAGGTGAAGAATGGATCTGTTTATCTACTTGTAAAAGATTTGTTTATTTGCTTGGTTCACTGGACATGTGGGTCCTTGTATCAGTTCGAATCATTAATGGGATGAGCTCAGGTTCATATTGGACCTTTTGGTTCCTTCTTCTCAATACTTTTAGCTCCTTTGGAATTGTCCCAGATTTTTGCTGGTGCTTTCCCTGAGAATTATGAACCTCCATCTGGTTTCTATTTCGAAGTTAATGATGATTCACCCATAGTTCAGGTAACTGTTAACATTAGGAACAAGTTATTATATACTAAAACATTAGTGCTTGCTTGTCCTAGAAGCTACACTTATTCTCCTTGTTGCTTGCAGGATGATATCAATTTGTTTGACTACAATGTCGAAGAACGTGTGAATGCCTTTGTTGCTGCCGCAGTAGCCCAAGTAAGTGGATGTTAATGTTTTACACTTTTACCAAAATTCTTCTTCCCAATCTAAACATCACTTTGTTGACGTCTTTCGTGTTTTGGATTCAGTTTTAGCATTCTATCTACCGTGAAGCATGCACTGCTTTCTTTTGTTTACACCTTTTCTTTTTTTGAGCAGAAGATTACCTTGTCAGTGGTTCTGCTAATGAATGTATAATAGATATTTTCTGTTGAAGATGCCACCAACCACCTTCTACATGGAACTTCAAATTTGTGAAACAGTTACCTAAACGCACATAATTACGTTGAACTTGAGCTAAGATCTCATGAGGAGCTACTCAGTAAGTAATTATATTGGTTAATAAACTTAGAAAGAAACAACTTCAACAGTTCAGCTTATCCAATTCATTGGGCTTGGGACTATGATTCCAGTGAGTAGAATGATTTAGTATAGGTTGAACACGTGAATGCTAGTAGTTTGATACGAATCTGTGTTACAAGACATTATTCCGTGTTGATAAACTGTCAAACCTTGACTTTGACCTCTCCAAGCCAGCACCGAAGCCAGATTTCTCTCTCTTCCACAATGATCTCTTAATAGTTGAAACTGATGATGAATGTCAAATTCTCAGGCAAACATCACTCGGACAAATCACGTTATGTGGACTATGGGAACAGATTTCAAGTATCAGTTTGCGCATACATGGTATAGGAATATGGATAAGCTAATTCATTACGTGAATAAGGTATCTGTTTCCTCACTACTTCATAACTGTTTATTCCTCTCCGAGATCACCTGGGATTCGATATTCACTTTTAATTTTTGCTTCTTCATATGTTCAATCTTCTGTTATTACTATTATCCTGTCAAGAGTTTTTACATCTTACTTCATTGTAACCTCCATAGTGTTGAATATCATTTTCTACTACCTACAGGATGGGCGTGTAAATGCTCTTTATTCGACCCCATCCATATACACTGATGCAAAGTATGCAGCAAAGAAAGCATGGCCACTCAAGACTGGAGATTTCTTTCCGTAAGTTTAATGCGTAGCTGGACTCTCCTCCTCCTACATCTTCTTTTTTTTGTTGTACTAAAGTTGAAGCATTTATGATTACAGGTATGCAGATCGTGCAAATGCTTACTGGACGGGATACTTTACAAGCAGAGCAGCTCTTAAACGTTATGTTAGGATAACGAGTGGCTACTATTTGGTATGAGTGTATGGGAATACTCTTTGGTGGGATTAAATGGTCTTATTGATTGGTTTGTTGGGGTTGTGATTGTTGTATTCTGGTTTCTTTAGGCTGCAAGACAGCTGGAGTTTTTCAGGGGAAGAAGCGATTCAGGGCAAAATACAGATTCGTTAGCGGATGCATTGGCAGTTGCTCAACATCATGATGCAGTTACTGGCACAGAAAAGCAGCACGTGGCTAATGACTATGCCAAGCGTCTAGCCATGGGTTACTCTGAGGTGATTACGATCGTAACATGATTATTTTTTCCATTGAGTATCACATATCAACGGCATTCATATTCTATTTGCAGGCCGAAGCTGTAGTTGCATCTTCACTGGCCTGCCTAGTGGAGTCAACGCCATACAAAGAATGTGGAAACCCATCTACAAAATTTGAACAGGCAAGTATTTAACCTTGAAGCTTGTGATCCATTCTTAATGTTCTTCGACTCCTGTGGCTGTTGTAGAGTGTGCAAGCTGATCCTTTTAGTTCCTTAAGAAGATTTGGTGCTGTTTTTACCTTGCTATCTATATGGTTGAGGTAAAAGTATTCTATGAAATAACGTATACTTTCAATCTAGGAAGCACGGACACTCTTTCGGGGCCTCCGTGTCGGTGTCGGACACCGACACTCGTCCGACACTCTTTTTATTATTATTTATTTATTTGTGGATTTGAATGAAATTAATTTGATTGAAATAATCATAAAAATGATAATTTATCATGTATATATAAAAATATACATTTAATATACAACGCGTCCCAACATGTCGGAATTCTCTATTTTTTGAGAAATAATGTGTCGGCCTGTCGTGTTGCGTGTCAGTGTCGGTGCTACTTAGCTTTCAATGGTGTACTAGTTGTTTAATCTATAAGTACCGAAGTGCAGACAGGCATAGGGAATAATATATTTCACTATGTGCATATTTCTGCTGCTAGCTAACATGATTGTCATAGTGCAAACCATCACACTCATCTTATTCTTCCCTTTGACGAAAAAAAAAACAATATCTGTAGCAAAAATTTTGTTATTTTGGACAATAAAATCCAAGTAATAATTCATTTTTTCTTTGTTTATCTCTGTTCCAATTTTGAGCTATTAAAGGATCCTTACCTTTTCATATTGGAGTTTATAACCAATCTGACAGTAAGCGTAATACTTCTTGTTGCAGTGTCCACTCATGAACATAAGCTATTGTCCTCCATCAGAAGCTGATCTCTCCAGTGGGAAAACATTGGTAAATTGATAGAGTCTCAATCAGATCATGTTCTTGTACGAAATGAATGTTTATTCCTTGTGAAGATACGTGAACTGTGGTTTCATGGATTCTAGATCATAGTTGCTTACAACTCGCTTGGATGGAAGAGAGAAGATATTATTCGAATTCCTGTGAGTATCCCAATGACTTTATGAGTGAGTTGAACATTATTGTATCAAGAGTAATCCCTGTTACTCCTTTTGAGTTTTTCACTCTCGAGTCAATAATTGCCTGGTGCGGCTTTGCACGGTTGTCTAGATTATTGTCTATTTGCATTTCTTAATCTCCTAAATGGTCTGTTCAGCAGGCCAATTGAACTTTGTTAGGTGATTAGTCTTTTCATAAGTAATTTTGCTCAATGAAGTTGATCGAAGCATCTACATTGTAAGAGAAATAAAAATCTTACCTAAATCACTACTACTTTGAATTTTTGTGGAGGAAGGTTTCTACTTTCAAACTCGATTTTTCTCCTCCCTGATTTTATGCCATCATATATCCTTGTACCAAAATTATTTCTTCCTATGCCTATATCCTCATCTTTATGCATATGAATTTTGCAAAACCCATCACCTGTCCATAATTAGTTTGGATGATTCAGTTGCCTCTCTTTTATTGAACCATGGGATGGATGTATGTATTCTTAGGTTCAGAGACATTAGTTCTGTATTCATTAAGTCAGGGTTTCTGTAGGTTATGACGGAAGATATTAGTGTTCATGATTCTGAAGGGAAGGAGGTTACATCTCAGTTGATTCCTATTACCGATACATTCCTCAGCTTAAGAAGCTACCATGTCATGGCATACTTGGGTGAAACTACAACTGACGCACCCAAGTATTGGCTTGTTTTTCCAGCTTCTGTACCAGCTCTTGGTTTCAGTACATTCTTCATCTCAAGTGCCAAAGGGACAGGTTCAGTGATGTGATTCTCCAATACTATTGCTTCTCTGGCCTATCATAATTAGACTTAAGAACCAGCACGCAAACTTTTTATTACAGGTGCTAGTCCAGCTAAATCAAAAGTATACACCATCGAGAGAGGCCAAAAATCCTCTGTTGATATTCGTCAAGGGAATATTAAGCTTACGTTTTCTGCTGAGGAAGGAAGAATTGGTTATTATGCTGATAGCAAACGTTTCGTAAGTGGTGTACCATTTCCCGATTCTCTTGGTTGTTGATTGGGGGCAGGGGATTTTGTGTCTAGCAGCAACCTTATGCGCATCTTTAAATTTTAGGTTGAGGAACATGTTGAGCAGTCTTACAGTTTCTACTCTGCATTTAACGGAACTAAAGAAGATCCTCAGGTCGTGAAGCCTTCTCTTCTAGGACTTCTAAATTGGTCTTGTTTCTTTGTTTTCAAGTCTTTCATCTCATACAACATGAACGTGTTTTTTAGGCCTCTGGAGCATACGTCTTCCGTCCAAATACCACAATTTCTTTGAAACCTGAAAAAAAGGTTTGTGATATTTTGTTACATACTGAAATGGTCACTAATTATGTTTCTTAAGAAATCATTCTGAATTTGCAGAATCCTCTGACCGTCATGCATGGATCCGTGATGGATGAAGTCCACCAGCAGATCAATTCATGGATATATCAGGTACCTTGATGGTGTAAATTTTTTGAGTGGGTTGACTGATCCTTATGACATGATTACATGTCTGTTCTTAATCTTATTTAGGCTTGACATGATGAACTTTTATGGTCTAGAATTATAATTAGCCCGACATGAGAACTAAGTTTGAATGTCTGTTCTTTGAAGTAGAATTCAATTCAGAAGGTTCAGTGCTGTGGTAATTGTAAAATTCTGATGATGGCAAAAAAAGTGTGACTATGTTGTCGATTGACTTTTTTTTAATTAATATTCAGCTTCTCTCTCTCTCTCTCTCTCTCTCTCTCTCTCTCTCTCTCTCTCTCTTCGTGCACTCATGCATGTGGGGTAATGAGAATCGATTTAGTAGAAAGTTGCAGCAACAATAAGAAATTCTCTGTCCAATTATAAGTTTGAAGCGAGATTCATGCTAGTTCCTGATAATCAGGAATGTGCCCTTTTCTTTCTCCCACACTTTAGGTCCAGTATAGATATAACCACAGTGGATAGGCGGTGGAACATTTAGTTTCGTTCAGTCATTCATGACATCCAATAGCTCAATGGTGGGTAGCCTCTTGGATAATTAGTTTCCTTAGATCCAAGAAGTAAATAGAAGATCTTATATAGAAGACACTTTGGGCTTTTTGGTATAATCTTTGTTAAAGTTTTAAACTTTTTGTTCGGCATTTGCAAAATTTGTGCCTAAAGAAACGAAAAGTGCTTTTTTACATTGAGAATGAGTTCTTTTCTTCTTTTTTTTTTTTTTTTTTTGTTTTCCGCGTGCCGGCTCCGCCGAGGAGGCTCTTTATATGCTCTCTTACACTTGGGTTTACTGTTCCCATCTTACAACTTTTTTTTCAGGAAAAAAACTGACCATCCTATGAGAATTTTAGATGGGTTCATCTTCTGTCTCTCTCTCCCTTGCTCTCTCTGTATGCAAGCTATAGAACAGAAAATGAGTTTGAGATTTCCCCCAACAATAATTAAAAGATAATATCCTGTATTTTCTGAAGTACTCTAATGCTTCTTATTGCGAATATGTTTTTCTGTTGCATGCAGATTACCCGTCTGAGCAAGGGAAAGGAACATGTCGAAGTTGAGTTCATAGTAGGTTTCTCCATTGCTGTTTCTTCACTGTGGTAATATGAAAAAAATTCCTGATAATGAGATTTGTTCAAATACATTGTGTTTATCTTGTTATCAGGTTGGACCAATTCCAATCGATGATTGGATCGGAAAAGAAGTTGTTACCCAGATTTCAACTTCCATGAAGACAAATAAGACATTTTACACAGATTCCAATGGACGCGATTTCATTGAGAGGGTATGATGACAACAATAAATTTGAGTTTTTTCGAGGGTAGACGGCACTTGTATAATCTGGATAGCTGAAATTGTTGCTAATTGCGACATCTTGAGAAGTTGTTCATTTTCAATTGAAAATTTTCTATTGTCTGTTTATTAAGGAACTGCGATTATCTTTGTCGCAGATTCGTGACTATAGAACGGATTGGGATCTGAAAGTGAACCAACCAGCTGCTGGAAATTACTATCCGGTATGTTTTTTTTTCCAGACTTTGGAGATCTACAATGATGTGTACATTTTGGCATCGACCACGATGCGCATTAGCCTATTTGATATGAATAACATACTCTACTTTCCTTTTTTCTTTTTCAAACAATGTGGAAGCATACTTGCTGAGTATTTTGATGTTCCCACTCCAGGACTTCCATTTTCCTTTTATTTTCTAATTTACTTCTCGCAGTTAGCTTGCAATCTTGTTTGTTATAATTTAATCTTATCCATAGTTGCTTGGACTGTTCTTTGACTTTTTATCCTCTTGATTGATACGTAGATTTTTCATTTTTCAGATAAATCTTGGAATTTTCTTTAAAGATAATGAGAAAGAATTCTCTGTTTTGGTTGATCGATCTGTGGGAGGATCAAGCTTAGTCGATGGACAAATTGAGCTAATGCTTCATAGGTAAATCATGAATATGCCTGATTCTGGGAGCTACATAATTATCTTGGAAGTAATCAGATATAGGATATCAGAAGTTGCAAACTGACAGTGTAACCATAAATCTTTATGTAGGAGACTGATCCGCGACGATTCCAGAGGAGTGGCAGAAGCTCTGAATGAAACAGTCTGTGCCCTTAAGGATTGCAAGGGGCTGATTGTAAGCACATATTGTCAGAAATAACTTCTTGAAGAACGTTATTATGGTTATTCTATATTCTCTTCCAGGGTTCCTTCTATCGTGAGAGATAGATATAGTATGAAGCATCTCTCAATTTGGCTCTTATTGAAGATATACTTTGTTGCAGATTCAAGGAAAGTACTATTTTAGATTTGATCCGTTAGGAGAGGGAGCTAAATGGCGTCGATCATTTGGCCAGGAAATATATTCTCCACTTCTCTTAGCATTTGCTGAACAGGTATGTTAAAGCAAAAAACTGAAGCCTGTCTTCTCAATCACTTGAAACAGAGAGCAATACTATTTTGAATGGTGATATTTCCCCTATCAGGATGGAGACTCCTGGAGGAATTCTCACACGACCACCTTCTCTGGGATAGATTCCTCCTACACTTTGCCTGAAAATGTTGCTATATTAACTCTCCAGGTGATTGGTAAATCTTGTCAAAACTGCAATCCTAGATTCCCTCATCATGTCTGTCAGTGTTTCATAGAGGAAGAAATGAATGCTACAGTTTCTGGAGATTTGATTCTGCATGATCAGCATTGTAGCTGTATGATCATCTTGATGTTACTTGACATCTATTAGGTCCTCCTTTTGCTAGTTGATTTTTTTTGGTCCTTCTAAGTAATATAGTGTCGCATGAACCGTGCAGGAACTTAATGATGGAAAACTTCTCCTTCGGTTAGCACATTTGTACGAGGTTTGTCTCTTTCTGTTGCTATAATCAAGTGTCAGAAAGAAGCTTTTCGTTGGATTCATTGCTCAATTGACTTCGTCCTGTTTACTTTGCATAATGTGGTCCCTGTTAAAATTATTATGTTGCAATCTCCTTTCTTTTGTCTGGTTGGAACCTATGTGAAGATTGGGGAAGACAAGGATCTTTCTGTAATGTCCAGTGTAGAACTGAAAAGTCTATTCCCCGGAAGGAAGGTAAAGTCAACTGACTAGTCAATCCATTTTTATGAGGAATTGACCTATTAACATCGACAAACACATTCAACCGGCTCTTTTGCCTCCTCATCGATTTCAGATCGGCAAAGTGACGGAGATGAGCCTCTCTGCTAATCAAGAAAGGACGGAAATGGAGAGAAAGAGACTCGTTTGGGAGGTGGAAGGCTCCAAAGGTAACGAAGGCAGGATATTGAGGGGAGGGCCCATCGATCCCACCGAATTGGTAGTGGAGATCGCTCCTATGGAAATCCGTACTTTCATCGTTCAGTTCAATCTACCCGAAGAGGTCTTCGATGCCTGAAGGCCTCGAAATTACACGGCATCAGGTCCAGAGAAGGCTATCCAGGCCACGCGGGATTGTTAACTAGTCTGTCCTCCGAGCTCCGCACGCGCTGTATTACGAGTCTTGTTGTTGTTGTTGTTGTAGTTGTAATTCCCTAGTATATAATAATGATGGACTGGAGTGTCTGTAAGTGGGCATAGACAGGAGCAGAGAATTATGCAGTCAGGGTGATGCAAATCGATGGGAATAACATCCCTGAGCAATGTTCATACCTTAGTGCCTACCGTCTGAAACTATGGTGGAAATGGAATTAGCATGAATCCAAATCCAACATGGCCTCGTTCCTGCCTTTTTTTTTCCCTAGAACTCAACGCTGTCTAAATTTATATTAATAATAATGTTACGGTAATGTCTCGGCTACTGGTTAAGCTTACTAAGTAACAGATAATGCGTATATAAAGGACAATATATGCATTGGACATTATTAGAGCTTTTTCTTAAGCTTCGTTTGTTTCGCGAAAAATAAATAATATGAATATATTTTCTTAAAAATGATCGTTCGTATCATTTACAAAAATAAATGAATGAAAAATATTTTTATCATTCATGAAAATGTTTAGACTTATGTCGTTGTTAATTATGATTACATTTTTTATTGATGAATTACTTCAAACGATACAGGCAATCATTTTTAAGAAAATATTTTTCAAATTATTAATTTTTCGCAAAACAAATGGATCCTTAATTAGTTAATAAAATCCAACTGAGAAGTGCATTTTAAGTAGGGCTAAAGCATGGTTCCAAGGTAGAACGGAAATCGGAGAACCGAATCGGTTTCGATTTCGAGTTTCAAAATATATAAGGCAGGTTCTAGCTTTGGAACCTAAAATCTAGAACAAATTTTTGTGTGTTTCTTTTTTAATGTTTTCGCGCAATCCTGCGGTATTTCATGACGTCTGATGATGAGTGTGTAATCAGGAACCGAACCACTGGTTTGAGCTTTCATTTCTGGCGATATTCATGATTGGGATATTTTCTTTATTAATATTTCATATCTTTCGTGTGTCTAAATATAGGTTATGGTCAATAGATTGTAACAGTAAATTATAGTCATTAGAGGTGATGATGTGCTGCAATCGTTCAATTAAGAGTACATATAAAATCTAGGTAGACCTTATAACTTGTGATATGTGAGTTTCAAGTTTCAGAATATGTAGAGTAGGTTTTAGGTTCTTAAAAACTTTGAAACCGGTTTCAATGAGTAGGTTCCAAATTTCTGATAAAACCCGAACCGATTCTACAACCTCCGAACTCCCAGTTTTAAACTTCATGACCAAAAAAAAAAAACTCCTAGTTTTTAAACTCCAGCTTCTTCCATTTATAAGGGCCTGTTTGGTTCAACTTTGAAAATGCTACTTGGAGGAATGCAAATACCTTTGGGTGAAAGCCCATTGGGGAAATGCAAATGGTGTTTGGTAAAAATATTTTGTAAAGCTACTTTGGCCAAAATATAGTGTTTGGTAAATTTTTTTTGCAAATGGACTTTGAGAATTATTTTATTTATTAAAAAAAAAAAACAAAACCTACCATCGCCGGAGCCGGCCGCCGGTGAGATAGATCTGGCGCTGGCGGCCGTCGCCCGAGGTCGGGAGACCACGGCGAGCCGAATCTGCCGCCGCCGCCGGTCGCCCGAGCCCGGGCGACCCTCGGCGGGGTCGCACGACCCAGCGACGGCCGCTTTGGGTCGCCCGAAGGTCGCGCGACCCAGGCGGCCGTCGCCTGGGTCGTGCGACCCCCGCCGAGGGTTGCTTGGCCTCGGGCGACCGGCGGCGGCAGCAGATCTGGCTCGTCGGTGGTTGCCCGACCTCGCCGGCCCTTCTCCCTCGCCGGCCACCCTCGCCGGCTTCTTGGTGAAAAACAGCTTCAAACCAAAAAAAAAATATATATATTGGTAAACAGTAGCATTCGTGAAATGCTAGCATTTGGCCAATGCTAGGTCAAATGCTCAGCATTTTGGGAAGAGACTTTCGGGGCTCAAAGCCCCTTCCCAAAGCTGAACCAAACACCCCCTAAGTAGGCGGATCGCGGCCGAAACAGGGGGCATTTTCCGTAAATAAGCCCGCGAAGCAGGGGGCGCCAATGTAATTACACCGGGCTATATTCGGTCAAGATGCGGCAGATGCCGGTCTTCCCGGAGCTCGTGTTGCAGGGCGCCATAAAAGCAGCTCCCCACTTCGATCCAGGGACGCGTAGAAGCTTGCGGTGCCTCCCCCCGACGCGACCCGATCGAACTCCCCCTTTCTCTCTCTCTCTCCACGGAATTCCCCAAGATTTTCATGTCCATCTCGCCCACCGAGACCCAAGGACTCGCATCGCCTCCCTCCTCTCGAGCTCTCCCTCCAAACCCTAGCCCCGACAATGGCGACCGCCGCCCTGTTCATTACCCCCTTCCGCCTGCCTCTCAGGTCTCCCCTCCCGTCTCCGGCGAGGCTCCAGGTACGAACCGGGAAGCTTGCGGGGTGTGTTTTTTTTTGTTTGGTTGTTGCGACGGTGCGGGTTCCGTTAGTTCGGGATTGCGTGATGCGGAGGATGATCGAGCGCGATGAGTGGTCTGGCTGGTGGTTGGGCCGAGGGATCGGGATAATCTGTGGCTCGTGATGTGTTCTGTTAGCTGAACACCGTTATAGATAGCGGAGTGATGCTTGTTTCGTAGATAGTCGCTGGTCGGAACTGTTGATGTTGAAGTGAGTTAGTACTGATTTGTAACTTTTAGGTATACCTGCTTGTCGTGTGGGCATGCCGGCTGATTTCTCATTTGATCAGGTGTTAGTGCGACAAATTAGTGTAAGCGACTGGAAGTTTGTACAACGTGGCTATTATGGATTCATCTCTTCGTCTTGAATCGTTGCTATGTTTCTATCGTGTTGTCTTTGCTGGTAGTAGCATGATCCTGTACATTTTTACGTACGCTCAGTAACTAGCATGTGCTGCCTTGACTCATCGGGATGAAATTTTGATGCAATGCAGGAACATTGGCTACTGTTGCAGAGAGTTCTAGCGGATCTTCCCAAAAGGTATGCTTGAAATTGGTAATTTCAGTAGTAATAAGGAAGTTCCTGCACTCCACTTAATAAGCTTTTGTATAGGTAATTAGTGCAAGTTAGAATTTTTGCTTTCGAGTAGGGGCTTTTTCCCTTATTTTTGGGATTGGATAGGTTAGATTGTATGAAAATATTGTGAGAGTTTATATGGCTGAATGCATCGGTTAAAGGTGACATACATCATTGCTGCCTCCCCAGGTGAGTGCATCAGGAAGTCCAAATGATAAAAAATTTGGATCTTCTCAGGCAAAATGGAAGACATCAGCGACCAATGCTGCCCGAAGTCAGCGAGCTACTGGGTCCATGGATTCACTTGGAAGCCCTATGCAATCAGCAGGAAGAAGAGCACAAGTTGTGAGTGGGAATCACCTGTTGAACTTCCATTATGACCCCATTTCTCGTTCTCAATCCAGGCAGCCTCCTCCTCCACCAAGAAGGCAACAAAAGATAAAGCCGTATAATAAAGATTTGTTCCTTCAGGCAAACTACAAGTTTGTTGTTCTCGATTCTGCAGACTATGAACCTGATTTGATGAATCCGGATAAAATGTTACAGTGGGAGGACATTATATGTGTTAGATACTCAACCCCCTCTGCGGTGCAGTGTCCAATTTGCTTGGACTATCCTCTATGTCCACAAATAACTTCATGTGGGCACATCTTTTGTTTCCCATGTATTTTACAGTACTTGTTAATGGGCAAGGACAATTATAGAGTCGACTGCTTCAAGAGATGCCCCTTATGTTTTGTAATGATATCCCGAAAGGAATTATATACTGTCCACATCGAGAGTGTGAAGCAGTATGTGGTTGGGGATATCATCGAGTTTGTGCTTTTAACTCGAGAAAAAGATTCCTTTATTCCCTCGGAGAAAAATAAGCAGGAAAGTGCTTCCATGCAATGCGACATCAATGCTATAAACGATGCTTTTTCAAAATTTACCTTCACTGCGGATGCCGATTTATCTATTAGAAAAGCAATAGCCGAACTTGATGGGTGGCTAGCCAAGGCAGATTCAGGGCTTGTTGATGATTTAGAGAAACTTCCCTATGTATCTGCTGCGATAAAGGAATTGGAGAAGAGAAAGAAGTATTGGGATGAGCACCGAGTTACGGATGGTGATAGATCCTGTAAGTCGTCTTCCCATATGTTGAATTGTGAACATGCCCACTGATGGATATGATGAGAAAGAGTTGTTGGCTAAGTTAAGGCTAGGTATATCTGATATTTCATCTTCTCTAGATCAAAATGGTGATGCTAGTCAAACTCTAGAAGACAAAGATCAGGAGATGTCATCTCATAAGGATGGAAAAAGTGCAGAAAAGAACTTGAGCAGCTCTGGGAATATAAAGGACAGGGAACTGTACAACTTCTACCAGGTAAGACAAAGCAACAAGGATTTTTTTTTCTTTTTTCTTTTGGTTTCTGGCATCTGAGTATGTTCAGTATAGACTGGTTGGATGGTAGGAAAGTTAGATGCAATGGCCCTTTCCCACCGTTGTTTTAACTGCTCAGGAGAGGTGAAGTTATGTTATTTTTCTTGTCAAGATATAGTTTGGTTGGGACTTTTTCCAAGAGAAATGACCAAGAAATGGTTCAAGATGCCATCCATGCGGTGGTTTTACTTTTTTCAGGGTCCTGTAGACGAATTACGGGAATGGCAAAAGAGCCTGCTCTGCTTCTGCTGCTGCATTTAGAAGTTTATTTTACTTGCCGTGGAGAAAATGCTTCATAAATCACACTTGAATGGGCATTTATTTTTTATTTAGTATTTTTTTTTAGTATTTTTTTTTATGTTTGTGAATAGTGATAGCTGAATGAATATATGTGCAACCAGAAAGTAATGCTGGACAGCGGCCATGCATGTAGATGTTCATCTTTGCTTGTACTGCAATTTTGTGCAATGTTTTTATCCTGCCATTTGACTATGGCCATATGATAGGTGTGACTTTTTGCATTTCTCCCAGTCCCTTGGATTCCTTATTGCATCTTATCCTCTTCTTGTATGTCTCTTTCAGGCTGTTGATGGTCAAAATCTTATTCTTCATCCATTGAACGTGAAGTGCCTTTTGCACCATTATGGAAGCTATGACATGATCCCGAACAGGTTGATTAGATTTTCTGTTCTCATAGAATCTGGTATAGAAACAGGCTGTAGATATTTAGTGCTATGCATGAGAAGTAGCAGAGAATGATGTTTGGAGGTTGGTAGTCTCCCCATCCTAGGGAATATGCACAGCCCTATGCAATTGATGGTGGGCAAACGGATATCTCATGTATCACTTCCTCTCATAATCATTTCTCCTTTGGCCCTAATTCTCTGTTCAAACTCTTGAGGCTAACAGTAATCGATTGTCTGAGTCTTCTCTTAAAAGTGGGATGCATGAATTGCAGGATAAGTGGGAGGATTCTACAGTTGGAAACAGTTACTCAGTCAGAGTCCACCAGAAGACGGTATCGCTACTTGAGTCATTTTTCATTGACCACGGCATTTCAGGTATTAATTGATCATCTTCTGTTCCTCTGTTCTTCAAAATTATCGAGCATCTTGTGGAAAGTGATCTGCTCATTAGTTTGATTTCATTAGTTTGATTTACTTTGTTGACTCAGCTTTGTGAAATTGATCTGACTGGCATACTGCCTAGTGATTCTTTGCTTCCATTTATGGATGAAATTAAGAAGCGCGAAAAGGAGAGGAAACAGCTAGCCAAAAAGGTGTGATAAACTTTGTTTTTCCCCCTCATGTGAATCCTTCTTAAGGACATATGTCTGCAATTTTCAAGCTCTTTTTCAAATAGTCTTTTTGACATTGCTCTTTATATTTCAGTCCTCCTTGCTTTGCTCTTAGAGTTGTATTATGTTTTCCATTTTTAGGAAAGAAAGGAAAAATTGAAGGCTGAAGCCTCTGAAGTTCCTATGTCTATACTATATGATATTGGACAGTCCTCCAGTCTTCGCTCCCCCACATTTTCGGCAGATGATTTTGAAGGTAATGGGGTTCCATTTGCAATGACAAGAATTAAGATGCCATTTGCTGTTATGTTTTTAATAAAAAAAAATAGTCATAATTGCCCTTCTTGAGCCACCTGGGTGCATACATCACGAATTGTACAATTTGCTGAACTATACTTACATTGCTTACTTGTCTTACCCTGCGTCACAAGCTCTCGGAAATCCTGTGGTGATGTCATCAAGCCCTCCTGCTGTTGGAGAGAGGAAAACATTCTCAAACGTAACAAGACTTGGATTTGCTGCAGCACATGATTCTCCTGCCTTGAAAAATGAGGACTCTCTTCGTGGGACCAGCTTGAAAATTGATTCTCCTGGTATGTTCTGAGATATTCGGTGTGTGTGTTTTGTATAAGCAGTTTATGTTGTTTAGTACTTTCTAGGTATCTGTCAATGAGCATTTAAGTAAGTTTGTTTTGACTCATGCATTGGCTGGTTCGGTCTCTTCTCATTGTAGGTGGGGAAGAGGCAAAAGGGCCATCTTTTGCCACAATGATATCGAGAGCCAAGTTGGTCGAAAGCTTGGAAGCATCTAAGGTGAGCGAGATGGGAAAGAAGGGGAAGAAACAGTCTCAAGTCCTCTTGTCCACAGCTGGTGGACGGCGCTACTAACATACGATCTTGTCTAACTTTCTTGTGTTTATAAAAGACATGATCCACTCGACCATAGCTGTGAAATCTGTAAATTAGTTTGACCTACCTCTCCCTCTCACCTGTAGATGGTTCTTGAATAAAGTGGAGATTCAGAAATAAGTTGAAGTGGCCATCGTGTTGCTTGTTTCCATTGGCTTTTCTTCTTCTTTAGCTGGGATTTCCCATAGATTCCAATTATTTTTTGTCTCACTCCTCTCTTCTATGTACAAGTGTGTGCGTTGCCCATGGGATCGAACGTCGGACCTGGTACGTTTCGGCTTTACCCCTTAATCCCTTTATCAACAAGATCACATTGCCTAGTGGCCCAAAGGTGCCAATTTGCCGGGCTGCCACAGTAAGATGAGCCGGCAAGCCTCTTATCTGCTTATTGCAATCTTGGATTGTGGAACTGAAAAGATCGATACTCCATGTCGGCCACCGTAAGTTCTCCCGAATTTCGTCTCATCACAGGTCTCTGACTCGTGTGTTCTCTCTTTAGATTTTTTTGAGTATAAAGTATTTAGTGAGATTAGGTTTAATTCATTAAATTCACTGGTAAATTGATTATTTTTTTATAATTAATAATTAGTTAAAAGTAAAAAGCCATCGTTTCACAAGGAAAATCACTATTTTCTAGGAGTTTCATCCATGAAATGAAACCAGAGAAATTCATACATAGAATAGAATTGATACGGAAGAACATAAGTTGCTCATTCGGGTGTGTTGTTCGGTCCTTTTCTCTTCTCCATCGAGCAGTCAAGACTTTGCTAAAGTTATATGCTCATATGTGCCAGTCGCTAGGCTTTGGTCTCGGGGATCGGAATTGGATGCAATTACAGATCGGGAGTTTAGAATCGGAGAGTTTAAGAAAATTGTACAAATCCTCACATCAAAAAGGGATTTTTCCCCATATAATAACTTTCGATGCGACTCAAATTATTTTATTACATGCGAAAAACCGCTGAGAATTAGCCGACTACTCCCGTCCCGCGTTTTCGATATCGCTGCTCTATGAACGCGCGAATGTTTGCCACCCTTTCGAACGCAAGCGATGACACTGCGCCGAACGACGAAACTCATAGCCTCGGCTCTGCTGCGAGTCCTTCGCGCCGCACCACAGCGTCGGCATCTCCGAACTTGCACCGACGCCAGAACCGTCAAGACAGGCTTCGACCCCACCACTTCCCGCTCCAACTTCCGGGTCAAGGACATACTCGAGCGGGGGGACCTGTCGCGCGCACGGCGGGTGTTCGATCAAATGCCCAACAGAAACACGGTCTCGACTAACATGATGATGTCCGGGTACGTGAATGCCGGCAATCTGGTGAGCGCGAGGAAGTTGCTTGATGGCATGGCTGAGCGCACGGCGGTCTCGTGGACGATCTTGATGGGCGGGTACTTGAGGTCTGACAAGGTAAGTGAAGCATTCGAGCTTTTCGGGGAGATGCACCGGTGCGGCACGGAGGCAGACTACGTGACTTTTGCCACGTTGTTGTCGGGCGTGCGCTACTCTGATACGTTTAATGAAGTGATTCAAGTCCATGCTCAGATAATCAAACTGGGGTTCGATTTGGTTCTCATTGTTAACAATGCGTTGGTAGATGCTTATTGCAAGTCTTGTCGGCTTGGCTTAGGTAGCCAGCTGTTCAAGGAAGTGCCCGAGAAAGATTGTGTCACGTTCAATGCGTTGATAACTGGATACTTGAATGAAGGCTTGTTTGAGGAAGCGATTAATCTCTTTGTTGAGATGCAAAAGTTGGGTTTCAGGCCTTCGGAGTTCACCTTCACGGCAATTTTAGCCGCAGGTATTGGGTTAGCTGACATAGGATTCGGAAAACAGATTCACAGCCTCGTCCTCAAGACTAATTTCCTGTGGAACGTGTTTCTTGGGAATGCGTTGTTGGACTCTTATTCGAAGCATGATCATGTGGAAGAAGCGAGGAAACTTTTTGACGAGATGCCAGAGGTGGATTGTGTTTCCTACAATGTCATTATCACTGGTTATGCATGGGACGGGCAGGTAGAGGCTTGTCTTCGCATTTTTCGCGGACTTCAGTCTACTAGATTTGATAGGAGGCAATTCCCTTTTTCGACCTTGCTTAGTGTGGCAGCAAACGTGGCCGACTTTGAAATGGGTCGGCAGATTCATTGCCAGACCATAGTGACAAAAGCTGATTCAGAAATCCTTGTTGGAAATGCTTTGGTTGACATGTATGCAAAATGTGCTAGATATAAGGAAGCTAAGATGATATTTGCTGATCTTGCTTACAGAAGCCCAGTTCCCTGGACAGCCTTGATTTCTGCTTACATTCAGAATGGCCTCCATGAAGAAGGCTTAAAACTGTTCGTTGAGATGCAAAGAGCCAATGTTAGTGCTGATCAAGCAACTTTTGCTAGCATTTTGAAAGCCTCTGCAGTTTTGGCATCACTTTCACTTGGGAAACAATTGCATTCATTTGTGATCAGATTGGGGTACATTTCAAACGTGTTTGCAGCGAGTGCACTTGTTGACATGTATGCAAAATGTGGATCCATGAAACATGCAATTCAAACTTTTGAAGAAATGCCCGAGAGGAATGTTGTATCCTGGAATTCTCTAATTTCAGCTTATGCTCAAAATGGGGATGGTCGCGCAACTCTTTACACATTTGAATCTATGGTTAAGTCAGGTCTTCGACCTGATTCTGTTGGATTCCTCAATGTTTTATCAGCTTGCAGTCACTGTGGACTTGTTGAAGAGGGTTTAAAGTACTTTGATTTGATGCGTAATACATATGCACTCGTTCCTAAGAGAGAACACTTTGCTTGTATGGTTGATGTGCTGTGTCGAAGTGGACGATTTGGTGAAGCTGAGAAGTTCATGTCTCAAATGCCATTTGAGGCTGACGAGATTATGTGGATGTCGGTTCTGAATTCATGTAGGATACATAAGAACCAAGAACTAGCCAAGGAAGCAGCAGATAAACTTTTCGCTATGGAGGAGCTTAGAGATGCTGCCTCTTATGTCAACATGTCTAATATATATGCGGCCGCAGGCCAGTGGGATTGTGTCGTACAAGTGAAGAAGGCAATGAGGGAAAGAGGAATGAAAAAGGTTCCTGCGTGTAGTTGGGTTGAGATTAAACATAGAAGTCATGTCTTTATGGCAAATGATAATTTGCATCCCCAAATAAAGGAGATCAGGAGAAAAATTGACACATTGGCGGAAGAGATGGAGAAAGAAGGATACAAACCTGACACAAGTTGTGCCCTTCACAATGTTGATGAAGAAATTAAGATTGAATCTCTTAAATATCATAGCGAAAGGTTAGCGATTGCATTTGCACTTATTAGCACGCCTAAGGGATCACCTATCCTTATAATGAAGAACTTGAGAGCCTGTACAGACTGTCATGCTGCAATCAAGGTGATATCAAGGATTGTTCAAAGGGAAATTACAGTTCGAGATTCAAACAGGTTTCATCATTTTAAAGATGGAAGTTGCTCTTGTGGTGATTATTGGTAGGTTTTGCATGGAAAATTCCCTATGATGTATGACAAGGTCACGAAAACAAGTTCTAGGGTTTAGTCAGGCTAGATAACTTTAATCCAGTGTTGCTTTAGATCGAGCAGCTGATTCCAGTTGATCAATAGAAGCTACTATTCTGGAGCTTTCATTTCGTCGTTAGTTCATGGTGACAATTACTGCACTAGAGGGCACAAAGGCTAAAGGTATCGAGATTCATTTGATTCTACCTTGTAAAATAACACAGAAAATAGCAATTATGTCTATATGATTCATGTTGTTTTTACCTTCTAAAGAGATCGTGTTTATGAAGTATAGTCTGCTGGTTGTATGAATAGGTTCGGTTTAAAGGTACAAGCTATTTCAATGGATGATCCTTCTTTAACAGTTCATGATTCATGATTTGAAATCTACCTTTTCCTTTCTGTGACGTACAAATACTTTGGCTGGGATTGTTTTGCCTGAATTATGAGCAAGAACGGTTAGTGTATCTTGTATGATCCATCTGTAAGGTGCGGTTATTTTTCATTTTGGTTACCTTGGCAGAAACCTTTCTCAATTGTTTCAACAATGAATGGGTCTCAGACAAATTCAGGATCGTAGCTACCGTTGGTATGGCCAATTGACAATCATCAGCTTTGTTTTGGATATAGAGTTAATGTTCTTTTTATCAGAATAATTGTTCCTTTGCATGTTCCTCTCCTCTTTCTCTTGTTTGGTTTTTTCAGTGATGCTTTTTTAAGTGATTCTTCAGGTAATGCTTGTCAATCTTCTGAGCCTCTCTTTATGTGGAGTCTATTTGTTGCAGGAGAAGTGTGAAATCATTGTACAATTGGATTCAATCACCAAGCTCATGAAAAGGTGCTTACGGTACTAGATTCCTTTTGCTTCGACCAAAATGTTACAGGAACCAGATTGACCAGTGGTTCCTTGTTTTAGTAAGGGTGTTTTGAGTTACTATAGTATTGCTAATTATCGGTTGCAGACTTGCAGTGAGTTTGATTCTGAAATTGATTAACCAAGACAAGATGCCTGAAAAGAGAGAAGCTATTTATAAAGAAAGCACAGTTGGTGGAGGTACGTTTTTGCATGTACATACTGGATAAAATCTGATACATGCAGTCGCTACACCTCTTTGTAAAAGGGAGAATCTGATTCTGTGGTATTTGTATTGCCCTCTACATTAAAAATCCCATCCCGTTTGCATTTGTTGTTCTCCTCTTTTAGTATTCTAGTGCTTTCATTCCTTATTGTCGGGTGTTAAGTTGTCGAAACTGCATTCTGCATGGATGGCTGGAAATGTACTCTCCACTTGCAAGACCGCATAAAATTTGTCAGCAAAAGTTCAAGTTTATCAGCAATTTGTTATTGCAAGAGGGAATGCTCCTTTTCCTTTAATAATGTCTCTCAAATTTTCTGTGTCATAAGCTTTGGGATTCCTGCGCTGATGTCGAGATTGCTTGTGGAGAGGAAACATCCTCGAAGGATACAAGCTTGTAAGACTGCTTTGCAACTGGGTGCGATTTGTGATGTAGAGAAGATGGTTCTCAGCATAAAGTCGAGGTGAAAAGTGATTTTCCCAGCATACAAGGTGTCTCGGGTAATTATCTTCCATTTTAACTACAAAGGCAATGAAGTTGTCTATTCGATTTGCTCTGTCTTGCACGTTTAGGATTTGAGTACGACGACCATAGCCGATAATTCTCTGCTGAGTTTGCAGAAGAACGTGTTTCTGTGGGATGACTATTAATCTCTGGATCTCTGCTGGGTCATGGGAACATGCCATTTTCCTCCAAAGATAACTGGGAGCTGAATCGTTGGAAGCTCACAAGTGAGAGGGGAAGAAAGGAGAGAAATTGATGCAAGTTCTCTTCTCAACAATGGCTATATGAATAGATGATTCTTTGTTTGTTTCGCGAAAAATGAATAATTTAGAGAACATTTTCTAAAAAATGATTGCTTGAATCGCTTCAAATAATTAGCCAAGAAAAAATATTTTCATTATTGACAACTATCATTTTTGTCGACGATGAAAATATTTTTCATTCATTCATTTTTTTAAGCGATACAAATGATCATTATTAGGAAAATATTTTTCAAATCATTCATTTTTCGTGAAACAACGGAGCCAAGACCTTGAGTATATATGGCTATACATTTTCCTTTTGGGTGAAATAGCCTTATCTGCTTATCTAGGGAGAGATTTTTAGGGAAATAGGACCTTCGAGAGGTTTTCATTTTACAAAGATTATAGATACCAAAGGTTTTAGTAACTTTTCAACATTTATTTGCGGAACTGTGTTAAATTAATTAATGATTATGAGAAATTACTAACTCTTATTTGTCATATTCCTAATGCTTACATAATTGTTTGAAATTGCCAACCGTTCAAATACTTTATACGCGTTTATTTGTTAAAATTATCAAGATGATAAATTTATTGACTATTACAGGAAATTGTCTATTTTATTTGCGTCACTTCCAACATTTGGTCGATGACTTCAAATCACCAATTTTCTAATAATAATATATAAACAGTTACTTGCATAGCTTACGAACTTGCTAAGTTACAGACTCTTCTAAAAAATTACCAACTGTTATTTGAGTCTATTTACCAATGTTTGTTAGATTGTTCGGGAAGCTACTAATCGTTCTTATAATTTACCACCATTTATCAGTTAAAGTTATCGCCGCGTTAAAGTTAGTAATTCTTATACGTAATTACCAATTATTATAATAATTTACCCACATATTATTTGTAGAGCCTAATATAAAAAATCTTACATGAAACCACCATCTGATATTTGAGTTAACTACCGACCTTTTTTTTATTGTTTCAAAATCACCATCGTTTAAGTCATTAAGATGTGACAAACTAAATAGCTATTGGTATACTTTTTATACCATTTGCGACTTATCAACATGTTATAGGCTAAATAAAGGGAAAATTCCAATTAAGGACCCCAAGTGGGGTCCTTTTCTCAAAAGAGGACCCAAAGTGAACATGGTATCAAATAAGGACCTGAAGTGCCCAATCAGTCTCAAATAGGGGCCCGAAGTACTTAATTTGTCTCAGGTAAGGGCCTGGTTTGCTGCGTGGCGAGCACGATTCTTGTTCCAAAACAATCGGAACAGACATTTCATCTCTGTTTTTTTTTTTTTCTCTTCCCTCCGCGGCCATAGCCGGGGCCGGTGGAGGTCGCCGGCCTCAGGCGGAGGCTGCCCTCGCCCGACGCCGGCAAGGGTCGCCCTCGACTGGGCTGGGTAGGCGAGGGCGACCCTCGCCGGCGGAGGGCGAGGGCTCGAGCTCGCCGGCCATCTGGGCGAGCTCAGCCGGCGAGCTCTGCCCAGATCTGGGCGAGCTCGAGCTCGCCGGCCATCTGGGCGCCGGCGAGCTCTGCCCAAATCTGGGCGAGCTCGATCTCGCCGGCCATGGCGAGCTTCACCCAGATCTGGGCGAGCTCGAGCTCATGCCGGCCCTCGCCATGGCGGCTGTGCGGGCCGGCAAGGGCGGAGCTCCCGCCGGTCTCAGCGAGCTCGAGCTCGCCGGCCATGGCACCCTCCCCTTCCCGCTCCAAGTTCTCCCCACAGAAGCCCCCGCCGGAGTCCCCGGGCTCCGCCGCCAGCCCCGCCCCGCCCGATACGGCCCTCGACAACCCGGATCTCGGGCCCTTCCTCCTCAAGCTCGCGCGCGACACCATCACCTCCAGCGACGGCCCCGCCAAGGCCCTCGACTACGCAATCCGGGCGAGGCCGGCCTCCTCGAGCTCGCCCAGATCTGGGCGGAGCTCGCCATGGCTGGCGAGCTCGAGCTCGCCCAAATCTGGGTGGAGCTCGCCGGCAGCTTGCCATGGCCGGCGAGCTCGAGCTCACCCAGATGGCCGGCGAGCTCGAGATCTCGCCGGCCTCAGCTCTGGCCTGGTCGCCGGTTGCCGGACCGGCGACCGGGGAAGAAGAAAAGAAAAAAAAAATTGGACAAAATTGCCCCTATTCCGGTGCCGGAAATGTCGACCGGTCGCCGGCCAGAGAACATTTGGCCGGCCGGCGAGCTCAGGTCCTTATTTGATACTAGTTTGGCACTTTGGGTCCTTAATTGACACATTGTCCACTTGAGGTCCTCTTTTGAAAAAAGGCACCCACTTTGGGTCCTTATTTAGTAATTTCCCTAAATTGTCTGTCAAAATTGAGTTACCTACGGACCGCTAGAAGCCACTTTCACTTTTACCAAAACGGGCTGACGAGGCTGCGTTTCGATCTATACTAAAAATCCTTCTCTTTCCTTCCGGTGGTGGTGGCGGTGGCCTGCTTATGATTCTTGCCCAGAAACGCCGTCGTTTCGGAACTTCTGGACTCCGCTCTTCTGCTGCTCCCAAGGTCCGATCCTTGTTTTCTTCAACGGTTTAGCGCGCTCACACACACTCTCTCTCTCTCTCTCTCTCTCTCGCTCGCTGGCTCCGTGTGTGGCCTTGAAATGAGGCTTCACAAGCCAACGCCGTCGGGCGGCAGCCGGAACCTGACGATCCTGCACCTGGTGTGCGCCGCCGCGCTCTTCTCCCTCCTCGTCTTCGTAATCCAGTCCTCTTACTTCGCCGGTCAGGCCTCGCGCTTCCCCCCCTCCCCCCCTTGCCGCATCTCCTCCCTCTCCTCCTCCATTTCGATCTTCTCTGACCGTCTCTCTGTTTGCAGGCAATCGGCAGGTGCCGATCGATGGCGAGGACGCGCGGGTTCTTTCCGATTTCCAGTCGAGCGTTCGACAGTGCGTGGTTAGCTCGAGCTCCATTTTTAAGCTTCTTCAAGTCTCTGAATTCGCGGAGATTTCAATCCTGCGAGCGCTGGTGTTGATTCTGTGTGCTTGAGTTGCGATTCGGTTTGGGCGGTTCCTCGCCGGGAACGGCTGATTCCGAAGTTAGCTTGATTTGGCTCTTAGCTGGTTTGGAGTTTGTTTGTTACTATAGGTTTCAATGGATAGTGAAATCTGGTTTGAACAATTTGGAGTGGGAGACTTGTTTAATCTAGTTGAAACGTGGCCTGGTTTCTTCAGTAGATTAGTTTCTTGTTAAGTCTCGTAAATCTTCTCCTGGTGAGAGTGGTTGCCTATGGTACGGTGGTCGCACGGTTGTCTGTATCGTTAATTTGCCAAAATCATACTTGGTTTGGGGAGGTTCTTTGTTTCATCAATCATCGCGCAGTTTACATCGAACACAGGCTTACAACCATTGTTGCTAGGGAAGTAGATTTAGGGAAACGTGTGGATTCGATATGAGGATTTTGTGAATTTTAGGTTCACCAGAGCAGTTTTACCATCACTTGTTGTCTCTTTGTTCTGTGTTAAGTGAATGTTTTTATGCAGGCTAATAGGGGGCTTGGACTCACTGCACATATAATTGACCACTGCAAATTGATTCTTAAATTTCCCCAAGGCACCAACAGTACCTGGGTCTCTCTCTCTCTCTCTCTCTCTCTCTCTCTCTCTCTCTCTCTCTCTCATCATCTTTTGTTTGCTGTTTCTAACATTCAGGAACCTGCTATTTTTGGCCTCTGTGCAGTACAATGAGCAATTTAAAATTTTTGAGCCCTTGGAATACAGCTATGACGTGTGTGAGGCAATACTGTTGTGGGAACAGGTATGTGGAATCATTCCTTCCTGCTGTGCGGATATTCTTTGAGAAGATAAATGTGGCCTAATGTGTCCAGGGATGCAGTATCGTAACATGACAACAGTGCTCACTAGAGAGTACCTTGATGCTCGACCGGATGGATGGTTAGAATATGCAGCGAAAAGAATAGCGCAACTGTAAGATGCATGCTTACTGATTTTAAATTATCTTCATTTGCTTTTATTGTGTATAATCAACTGAATTCTTCCAGCTATCACAAGCACAAGGTATATTCATCATTTAGATCTTTGATGCAGGGGTGCAGATAAATGCTACAATCGAACACTTTGTGAGGATCATCTCAATATAATTCTTCCTGCAAAGCCCCCATTTCACCCCCAACAGTTCCGTAGCTGTGCAGTTGTCGGAAACTCTGGGGATCTGCTTAAGACAGAATTCGGGAAAGAGATTGATGGTCATGATGCTGTCATTAGAGACAATGAAGCTCCTGTTAATGAGGTTCTCTAGCCTCTTTTGCTGTTAGGGGAAATTCCTGTTGTTAATTTTGTGTCGTCTGTATTTTGGTCTCTCTCTCCCCCTCTCCCGCCCCCATCATCATCCGGACGTGCTCAGATCCGGTTCTTTTCTTTACGTTACTCATGAGTAATTTATCGATACTGCTATCCACAATCCTCATTCATGGCATACTCAGCTAAATAGCAGTATCGTCCTTAGCTTTGGTTATTAGGCAGGGAACTCTTTAAACCACTTGTTACTGTTTGCATAGTTAGGATGGTCAGCGTGGTCGGCATAGGATGTAGGCTGGTAATTATTAATTCATCTGCTTACACCTAATTAATTGTTGTGCAGAAATATGCCAAGCATGTTGGTCTGAAGAGAGACTTCAGACTTGTAGTTCGTGGTGCTGCTCGTAAGATGGTTAAGATACTCAATGGATCTGGTAGGTTCTGATACCTGTTTCATATGAAGAATTACATACGTGAACAACTCTTTCCTCTCATGTTCTGAAAAGATTCATAACTTTGCGTTCGAATAATGAGCTGCATCTGTTGCAAAGCTCAGTTTCTTTGTCCTATAAGAATCTCCTAAATATTCCGTTTTTTCTTGGCACGAATTCTCTTTGCTGCCAAAATATTGGTTGTTGGTGTGGCCTTAGAAGATAACCTCATTTGTCTCATCTTGCCATCCAATGAGGACTAACATGATCTCGCTTTGCAGCAGATGAGGTGCTCATCATCAAAAGTGTGACGCACAGAGATTTTAATGCAATGATAAAGGTGATGATCTTGTTGAACATTGATTTCAGAAATTAATTTATCGATAATCTGGTTTTTGTTTTATATTTGATTATTTCAGTATCTCCTATTTCAGAAATTTATATTGTATGTCCCAGAGACTAATTTCAGTTAATGCCATATCTTTGTTTTTCCTTAGATGAGGTCCAGTTGACAGTGTACCATGGATTAGCAATTCTCGCGGTTGCAATGAATAGAATTTTCTAGTGTGGTTTATGGCTTAACATTCTCTTGGATATATTGCAGAGCATTCCCAACCCAGTTTATCTTTTCCAAGGTATTGTACTACGAAGAGGTGCGAAAGGAACTGGAATGAAGTCTATCGAGCTTGCCCTCTCCATGTGCGATGTTGTTGACATATATGGTTTCACTGTTGATCCAGGATACACCGAGTGGTTAGTGCAATGCTGACTCTTGATTTTAGCTTAACGCTCCATAACCTCAGTGTATGAACTGTAACAGTTTCAATCTCACAATAATGTATACTAGTGTGTAGAATCCCAAGTTCTTTGATGATTGAGACTTTAAGTCTGACATTGCCCTTCTCTTGCAAACCTCACCTCACGAACCTCAAAGTGGGATTGCATTAGGTTGGTGGTGCCACTAAAACACAGGTTTTACTACTTAAATGAGCTCAATCACTCTTTCTACCTTAGCATTCAATTTTTTTTGTTGCTTATTTGTTCAAATTTGTACTTTCATTCTGATCGTACTTAGCATTTGCTAGGATATTGTGTCTAAACTGTCAATTTAAGTTTCCTGTTCGTGTCTAGATTTTGCGTCTAAAAGCGGGCATTTATGTGGTGACTGAGTTTATTGTTTGTAAAAACACGAGCTGCTCAACACATTCATCACCTTCGCTTCACTTTCTAAATGAAATTCGACTTCTCTCTCTTTCTTTCTCCCTCCCCATGTGTCCGCATTTTACTAACTAGCACAATCATCTTATTGCAGGACCCGTTACTTCTCTACTCCAAGGAAAGGGCACAATCCCCTTCAGGGAAGGGCTTATTATCAGCTATTGGAGTGTCTTGGTGTATGATATGAGATTTTCAGGTTCGTTTTTCTTTAACAAGATTATTGATCATGTGATAATCTCCTAGTTTCCGCTTGCAGGTGATTAGGATCCATTCTCCCATGAGAGCCGAGAGGAATCAAGATTGGTCAGATGTGCCGAGTCGTGAAATGATAAGCAGAGCTCATGCAGCTGCCTTGCACCTAAAGAGGAACCAAGCTGGTCAAACAGGTGGATTGGGACAGTTTGGAAGTTGCAAGGTCTGGGGTCATGCAGATCCTCACAACCATGGGCTCATCTCAGGATCTCCAGACATGAGCAATGTCAGGAGAAACTCAGATTATAGTAAGTGGGAAGTCATGCCGTTTAAGAACCTAAGAAAAGAAGCGCGGGATCACTACTTCCAAATGGAAGGTGTCTCTCTGTACAAAATGGATGGGAACAAGTTGGATGATCTTGTTTGCGTAAGGCATTCGCTGACGTCTGAGGTATGACTGACAACTGAATTCTCGCTTCAGGGTTGGCTGATTACTTGGTAAATGAGCTGAACCAACGTATTGTCCATTTTCGTTTTTGAGTTCAAGTTTAATGGGATCTTGAAAGAGGCTCTCTACGCAAGTCGAGCCTTCGATACCGGGAGTGATTTTCCTGCGACAGCATTTGACTAGAAGGAAATTTCCGCTCGTTGCATGAAGAAAATCATGGCATATTTTGGGTGCATGAAGAAATGAGGAATTAAGTGGTTATGTGGATCATCGACTGACTCCATACACAAGTGCAGGATGGGAAATTCGTGGTTTACATTCTCTTAAGGGATAAAATTTGGTTGTATTCTTTTTTTGTTCTAATCTTTTAGATTATGTATTTGCGAGTCCTGATGATGGATTAGGTACACTAGCAACCAGTGTACCCTAGACAGTGCCAGAGGAGCCTCTCTCATTTGATTCTGATGTCAATTATTCTTTTTCCCTCTTTCAGCGTGAGAACTAAGAATGCTTTCTCATACAGTGTTTGGTCGGTGATATATAGTGTCCAGTAGGCTCTCGTATTAGCATATGCTCCAAAGTTTGTTTTAGTATTCAACCTTCCCCTGGGTAAAACTTCAATTGATTTATTCTGAAGTCACAAAATTTTCTACCCAAGTTCCTCTGTTCATAAGTAAACCGTGGATTTCTCAAATAGAATCTCTAGCAGCAACCCTCTCCTACACGGTTTGTCATTGTTCGGAGTTCAGATTAATCAAGATCGATTTGAGTTCCGGATGAGAGAATTTAACCTTACCTTCGGCTATACCGTCTAAATGAAAAATGTGATAAGTTAATAGACTTATTGATCAATATCATGGGCTACTACGCCTTAAATTAAGCCCAAGAATGTTACATCTCGACTCTAACCCAGGATTGAGTTCCCAGAATAGGTCATCAAAACAAATCTGGGTGAAGTTTTAAAACTGCAAAACCCCCGTGTATGGTGTTATGATGTAGCTGCAGAACCATTTCCACTTCCGTATGCATGATCCAGCCCGGTAAAGTCACTTTCGAAGAATGTCGAATGGAGAGCTCTCACGCACTGCTCCGCCTCGTCATCATTCACGATCAAGGAGATGTTGACCTGCACGACGGTCAAAGAAAGGGGGAGAATCGCTTGGTATGAGTACTAGAAAAGGAAGGGGAGTCAATCAGCATCGAACCCTCTATAAACTCCACCAGACAAACAAACTAGCATCCATAAAAACTGCAGAGGTCCAACCTTGCAAGAATAAGATAAATACATTTTGTCCATAAAAATGGAAAATGGAGCCGAACTATTTAACCACATTTCAAGGGCAATCAGAGACCTACTGTGTACATCACTTCCAACTTGAAAAGCACACCATTGGCACTTGTAGATATATCATTCAAGACATCGAGAAATAGCACATGAGAAAAGAATTGAAGTTGTCTTTAACGATACCTTGGATGCTCCTTGAGAGATCATCTGGACATTGACTCCATTGGTTCGTAGAACATTAAAAACCTGGCAAAAAGTTAATCAAGAAAAGGAGCACAAAAATTAGACTCTGAGTTAAGAGATGTTTAGCTAATTTGCAGCAGATTGTGTGAGTGCAAAAATGCACGGATGAGGCAATAACGGACGACATTCAACAGCAAAAGCGAAAACTATTTTCTAGCTGACAAAAGCTAAACATATAATAAGCAGCGCCGGCACTTGCAAATGCTACAAATAAGAAAAAAGTGGTTCTCAAGTTTCAACAATCAAAAACCAAGAAAACATAGGATTGAGCTTCGATGTGACGCAGCTCTCACTAGACCAATTGCCCCTTTGGACCTTCCTGACGATCTTTATTTTTCCATTTCAATGCGTCCTATCATTTCTGGTCATTCTATTTCTACATAGGTTGCAAAAATGAAGATGCAACTTCAGTGAAGTTGGAGCATACTGTCAAGAGGAAGGAAGAACAGCAGTTTTTAACATGTCCTTGGTAGACACGAGCAATCACAATGTTCACAATATACGTTTCAGTACAGGGGAAAACACAATTATAACATCTGACATGCACCAAACAGAAAGGGGATAAAGACCGACTCAACAAATTGGGTTCAGGCAATTTGAACTTTTGAGCCTTTTAACTAACTTGGGCTGCGGCTGGCATATATCTAAACTCATGGCCATTTTAAATTATGCAGCAACCAGCGACATGCACGAGCACAGTTGGCACCGTCAAACTCACACATGGTATCTGCCAAAGTTGAGACACTACCTTCTCTAGTATAAGTGATGACCTCTGTACATTCCCAATGAGTGAGATGATTGATCTGTGTTGAAGGAGATTCACCACAGCTATTTTCTCGAGTTCTTCCACCACATGATCAAGCTCCTGCTCAGAAAGATATGCCAGTAACGTTAGATTGAAGCATTGGTGAGAGGGCAACCGACATAAATGCTGCATAGAAAACAAGACACAAGTAGTGAGCATGCAACTGATGGAAGTAAATATAGATCACCAGCTGATCTAGACAAGTTCATGCACATGCACTGTAATTTAAAAAATTGTATAGGGAGGACTGGTTGAAGTTATGCTCGAAGGGATCAGGGAATCATACACTTGCCTGCTGAATTAGCTCTCTGCTCCAGAGCTTGGATGGATCCAGTGTCAATGAAATACTGACTTCACTAGTCGCAACAACATCCACGGATATGCCCAAATCTTCAAAGATAGAAAAGACCTACATGAACCCAACCTCAGGTTATAGAATGACACAAATAGATCGCCAGAAGCATAGAACTGTTGCCAGCTCTCTTACCTTTGCAAGGAAGCCAAATTGACCAAGCATGCGAGTGCTGACAATATCCAGCATAGTAACATTCCTTTTCAGAACAATGCTGGTCAAAACTGCCTGTAGGTAAAATGAGATTTAATTTTTCCTTTGAAGTTCCCAAGAGAATAGAGGTCTAATGCTGCCACAAACCTCACTCATATCCCTCGCCCTGGTTATCAGGGTACCTGGAGCATTAGGATTGTAGGAGTTTTTAACCCTGACAGGAATATCACCCTCTCTGGCAGGTCTCATGGACTGAGGATGGAGGACCTGATGAAGGTAAAAACAATATTATAATGAGAAATATGCTTTTATCACCCACATAATCTGCCTATACTATGCCTCTGCCCTTCATATTTTGGTCCCACCCTTAATGCAATACCTTCTGCCTCACAATTGTTGTGCCTAGAGATATATCCTCTCTTTTTTGGGGCATATCTAGCTGTACCAATTTAAAGTTAATTGGCACGTACAGAACAACTTATGACAGCCTATGACAACATTTAGGAGAAGTTATATACCCAATTCGATTTTTCTCCAAAAATAGGGCATAATTTAACTGAGTGAGAATAAATTATTGAACAGTACCTGTGCACCAAAATATGCCAGTTCAGCTGCCTCATCAAAGGTCAAGTATGGTACAGGCTCTGCTCGAGGATATATGTTGGGATCGCATGTCAAGACACCGTCAACATCTTTCCACACCTGTAAGACACTCAACCAGGATTGTACATATACACATTCAATACAATTTGAACCGCAATAGAAACACACAAAACTTCACCAAATTCCTCATATTAAAATGTTCTCCTCGCAGAATGTACAAGCATAAGATTCACTTGAATGAACGTGGAACAATGCAAGCAATGTTTCTAACAAGCAACTTCAGCATTTGTTGTTTTCACTAACCTGGATCTCGCGTAAGCCCAATGCTTTACCAATAGTAGTGGCTGTCAAATCACTGCCACCTCTACCCAGTGTCGTCACTGCACAAGTTCTCCAGCCCTACATGAAAATAATTTTGATAATTGGTCATATTTCACAACCATGTTAAAATTCTGCAACTACTATGGCCAATATAGCACCTTCCCGAGGAAGCCAGTAACAATCGGGATTGCAGGATCAGTGATCCAATCATCATGTAACCTCTTTGCAACAGCTGGATAAGTTGCTTCCAGGATGTCCGCATTGGTGAAGTCGTCAGTGGTAATAAAGCCAATTTCGAAGGCATCATACTGGAAAGGAAGCCGGGACATTAGTTATTTGCAAGTACCTTTGAAAGAAGGCTTTAAAAAAAATTGTGATAACATATAATGTTTGCCCTGAAAATTCCAAAATAAAGGCCTATGGAAAACTAACTTAGACCACTAACATTTAATTCTTGATATTACCATCCATTGCCCTATCCCACGTGTCTTATCCAGATACACTTTTCTAGACCAGTTAAGCAACAACAATACCATAATCCATAAGAAAACAAAACATACTTGTTGGGCCATACTTTTCTACGCCAGTTAGGCAACAACAAAACCACAATCCCCAAGAAAACAGAACATACTTGTCGGGCCTTTACTCCTCTCTTATTTAGATAGGCAGCAAAAATCCTCGTGGACATGCATTCCCCAAAAGAAACTAAATAATCTCTAGTCCGTAATGTGAGCTCCTTCATCATAGCAATTCCCTTCAGAAGTTGATCCAATTCTTCCAGATGAGCTGCATAAGATTCTCAATGAATATCAACAGGCTAAAGAGATATTCTTAAAGGCCTAAGTACAAGAAGATGAGAATGCTTTACAATTGGGTGAGTCTATGGACCCTACCATGAAATATCCCCGTAAATCACATTTGGATCAATATAAAATTCAAGAAACTGTAGACATTAGATAGATAAACTTTTAAATCGACATGTCATAAAAAATTGAGAAGAAAATTCTCCAAAATGAGCGTGCATGGATTATACGGAAAATTTTCACTCAAAGTTCTAACATTCAGGCACCTACATCCTATGTGGTTATGACCGGATGAAAAGCTTAAAAAAGAAAACCGTATGTGGTCAATTGACAGCAAGAGTTTGTAAAGTCAAACTTCCGAAGAGACCACATTTATTGTCAATGACAATGTCAACTTCATTAGAAAAATGACGAATCCTTAAAAGGCCAACTTCAGATAATAAGTAAGGAAACTTACTTGCTATTATTGATTCGTCAAGTCCAAGCTCCTTCACAGTCCTACGGTGATGCAAGTCGAAGGACAGTAAGGAAAAGTCTTGCATTTAATAAATTCTTTCAAAAGGAGAGAAAGGATGTCCATACCGCAGATGGAGTTCCTTTATAAAGCTTAGCTCATCAATGCATGACACGTTAGTAACACCACAACTGACAGCCTTCTCTCCAGCCTGAGATGAAGTACATGTATTTTATTAACATCCCTCTTGGCAGAAAGGGCAACTCTGAAACGAGGTGCAAGAAATTGAAATGAACTGAGAACTGATGTATACCTGTAAAAGGCTGTTAGTCGTCTTCCCCATCGCGGATAGAACAATCACAGGCCTCTCATTGGGAAAGCTGAGGATAAGATCAGCAACCTCTCGAATTCTCTCAGCAGAAGCTACCGAAGAGCCACCAAATTTCATGACGCAGGACAGTTGATTCTCAGAATCGCCAAAGCTTTGAGCCACGGTCGAGCTTTTCTCCAGGACATCTACATTTGCTCCTGTACAGCTCACTTTGAAAACTCTGCTCCCACAAGAGTTCTTCAAGCTCCTAGATAATGATGAACTTGAACCAGCAGAAGTTGCGAAATGAAGCCGCTGAGGCAGCACGGATCTTTGTTGCAAAGAACTCCTCGAACCGAGCAAGTGGGAACCGGAAGCTTTAGCTCCCGTAAGATGCAATGCCGGGGCCATGTCGAAGTCAGCTAGGGAACCGAATCCTAGAAACGAGCAACCGAAGCGGCTTTGAGCGAGATCGTGTCGACAAATTTCCAAAATAACGGTATGGAACTCTAATCCCGATGGACGGCTACAGCGGGAGCAAATTTATCAACAGAATCCTCCTGTTGACAGCACAATCTCAAACCTTCCTGCAAACAACAAGAGTCCAAGTCAATCTTCGTCCACGAAAAGATACCGCAACAAAGCCTGTAGAAGAATCAAAGCAATCAGACACAAGCCGACAACAGCGAGACAACGAAACTAGAACCAGCGTTCCGCCTCCTAACCAGAATGTCGCAAATTGATCTCGTTTGATCAAACAAAACATCCATAAAAAAAAGAACGTACTTCCCAATTTCAGCTTTCCTTGCCTTCCCTATCATTCAGCATCCACAAATCCCACACAAAACCGTCACGAACTCGAACACAAGCTCACAGAATCGCCAGTCTAACCTCGACAGAGCCACGGACGTACCTCGAGATCAACCGCCGAACGGAAACGAAATGCAGAGCCTCCTCCGAGCGGAAATGAGCGCCGGAAGGAACGGGAATCCGCGACGCCGTGCCGGTGACGATTGCTTCGCAAGCTCGAAGGTCAGCTCAGCTCCGCTCCGCCGACCTCGAGCTCCGTCGACGAATCCGCGAGGGAATGCGGGAGCGCGAGCGAACGCGAGGGAGAGGAAGGCGGCGAAGGGAGAAGCAGAAAGCCAAAACCTTCTTCGTCTGCTCAGAATCGACAACGTGTTGGTCGTGGCGTCGGGCGCGCATTTGCTATTTACGCGAGCGAGCGCTCCTCTTTTGATCAGAAACCCTCGGGCGGGGTTCCCGTTGGAACGGACGGTTGGGATCAGACCGCTGACCGGGATATGCTAGCCCGCGACCCGCGTCCACGGTAACCCGGTGTCCCGTGGGCGCCCGAGATTGCGCGGCGCGGGAATCGGACGGCTGGCAGGGCATCTCTACCTGGCGGCCGCGAATGAGTTGGCGGGCGCGCGAGGACTTGATTGATTTCGGGGGCGTTGAAACTTGGACCGGAGCTGACGTGGACGCTGGCGACCGTGGTAGACGGCGGGGGCGCCCACGTCAGTCCCAATGTCGGTCGTACAAAGATTCGTTCGTATCTTTGCGTTTCCACGTTGTTTCGCGAACAGAGACAAGACATAAGCTCTTCTTTAATCACGGCTGCACCAGCAAAGCCATGTGCTGACGATCGCGTCAATCTCGTATCAAGGCATTGCTGCACCAGCAAAGCCATGTGCTGACGATCGCATCAATCTCGTATCAAGCCATTGCTCAATTTCAAGAATAAAAAATCAAGATTAATGAAATTTTTATATGATGGATCTACTGTTATCGTGTATTTTCCCTGTCCGAACGTATTAGTACATACTGTGAAGAACTTGAGAAATGAAAGAAAAAAGAAGGAAATCTATAGTTGAAGATACGTGAATATTTATTCATCAGATTATGCAGAGAATCTCCATACAGAACTTCATCTGAGAGCCTAATCTCTCTCTTGTGTATTTCGCTGGTTATATAGTCCATACAGCTACAAATAACGCTCAAGTTTACAGCTCATATACCAGAAAATACAACTGAACAACTAAACTAACGAAGAAACAAATCTAACTAAACTATCAGAACCGAAAAACGAATGTCAACTACTCTTTTTCCTTAGTTCTAAGAATAGAAATCGATTATGCAGTAACATTGTTGATACGTATAGAAGACTTGAGCTTCAGCTTTCCACTTCTTACTCGAGCTTCAGCTTTCCACTGCTTGTTCCTTTTCTGTAGTCTCAACATCCCCCGCAAACTGGGTGCAGGTTTGAACCCCAAGCCCAGTTTGGTTCTGAGAGTGGAATGATCAAGGCGTGACAATGCCTTAGTGAAAATATCAGCAAGTTGGCGATGACTAGGAACATACTGAACTCGTAAAGATCCCAAGGAAACCTTTTCTCTGACGAAATGAAAGTCAATTTCAATATGTTTAGTTCGAGCATGTAAGACAGGATTGGTAGTAAGGGAGATGGCGGATTGGTTATCACAAAACAGAGTTGTAGGAGAGTGAAGAGAGATGCCAATATCACGTAGGACAAAACTAATCCATGCAAGATCAGCAGTAGCAGATGCAAGAGCTCGATACTCTGCTTCAGTAGATGAACGAGAGACAGTCGGTTGTTTCTTAGCAGACCAGGAGATGAGATTGGAACCAAGATATGTGCAAAAACCAGTGGTGGAACGTCGGGTATCAAGATAGCCAGCCCAATCAACATCGGAGAAGCCATACAAGGTCATAGAACTTTGAGAGTGGAGAAAGATTCCCAGATGCACAGTGCCCTTAACATATCGAAGAACTCGCTTCAGTTTATGAAAATCAGCAATGGTTGGTTGCTGCATTTTCTAACATAAAAGATTAGTGGCATAAGCAAGGTCTGGGCGAGTTATGGTGAGATACTGAAGCCCTCCAACTAAACTTCTGTATTCAAGTGGGTTGACAAGATAGATGTCATCTTCTGTTGTGTGGAGGGACCTTACAGATAGTGGAGTTGCTATTGGTTTGCAATCTTGCATGTGTGCTCTTGTAAGAAGATCAATAGCATACTTAGTTTGGCAGAGAAAAAGGTCAACTGAAGTGCGTTGGACTTCTATCCCCATAAAATAATGAAGTGAGCCCAGATCTTTCATGTGAAAAGAGATACTCAGAGATTTGATAAAATAATCAAGCAACTGATGTGAGTTACCAGTTAACACAATATCATCAACATACAGAAGCAACAAAATTGTGTCAATGCCACGATGAAACAAAAAGAGAGAAGGGTCTGTAGTGCTGCAGAAAAAACCAAATTCAAGAAGAAAGTTGCTGAACTTCTCAAACCATGCACGTGGAGCCTGTCGAAGACCATATAAAGACTTCTTAAGTAAACACACATGATGAGGCAAAGTAGGATGGATAAAACCAGGAGGTTGCTCCATAAAGACAGATTCAGTAAGCGTGCCATGTAAAAAGGCATTTTTGACATCTAGCTAACGAATAGGCCAGTGCTTTACCATAGCTACTGATAAGACAATACGGAGTGTGGCTTGTTTCACTACAGGGCTGAATGTTTCAAAAAAGTCTACTCCTTCTTCTTGGTGAAACCCTTTAGCAACCAGACGAGCCTTCAACCTGTCAAGACTTCCGTCCGGTGCTAACTTTGTTTTAAACACCCACTTACAACCTATGATATTCATCTGAGCTGTTCTTGGAACTAATATCCAAGTTTGATTCACATGCAAGGCATCCATTTCCTCATGCATAGCCTGAGTCCAGCCCTTATGAGCTAGAGCTGATTTAAGTGATTTCGGCTCAGCTGAAACATTATATTCAGCTAAGCAAGCATAACTGGGATTTGGTTTAGCTATGTCAGACCGGAGTCGAGTTTGCATAGGATGAATAGAGATGTCACGGGAATGATGAGGAAAAGAGCTTGGAGGATCTTGGTCATCAACAGGAATGATTGGTGCTGTATTATCTGAAGCAGAACATCCTAAGACCTCAAGATCAGTAGGAGGCTGTGAGGATGACAAAGACATATGTTTGCACTGCTCTGTGATATATGGAACACGAATTTGGCCAACCTCCAGAACTCCAGTTTCCTGTAAATGACCAGTGGTACAGATAGGAGGTTGTTGTCGCATGGGACTCAACTTGTTAGAATCCAGAAAGTCTACCTCATCAACCCATTTTCGATACAGAGAGGTATAGTGAGGATAGTCATGATTTAATTTCTTGGTAAAAGGAAAGAAACATTCATCAAACTTCACATGTCTACTGACATATATTCGACCATCAGTAGGAACCAGACAGCGATACCCCTTATGACGCTCACTATATCCCAGGAAAACACATGTAAGAGATCGAGGATCAAACTTGTGTTATGTATAGGATCTGAGGCAGGGATAACAAGCACAGCCAAAGACCCTAAGATGATCATAGCTCGGTACTTGTTTAAACAACCTACTGTGAGGTGAGTCCATCTGCAACTTAGGAGTTGGAAGTAAGTTAATGATGTAATTGGCAGTCAAAAAGGAATCAACCCAATATTGTAGTGGAGTTCTAGCATGGTAGAGCATAGTCAGACCCAGTTCTACCACATGACGGTGTTTCCTCTCGGAAATCCCATTCTGTTCAGGGGTGTAGGGGCAAGATAAGTACTGTTTAATACCACAAGTTGCCAAGTGATTCTGAAATCTGGTGCTAGTGAATTCACCTCCCCCATCACATTGAAAAACTTTGATTTTATGATTAAGTTGGTTTTCCACGTACTTCTGAAATATAAGAAAAACATCATAGAAGTCTGACTTCAGCTTCATAGGATAAAGCCAACTATAGCGAGAAAAATTGTCAACAAAGATGACATAAAATCTGAATCCCTGAAGTGAAGTTATTGGTGAGGGACCCTAAATATCACAATGTATCCTTTCTAGAGGAACTTCAGTTGCAGAATCAGAGGAGGGAAAAGGTAGTGAAGTACTTTTGACAAGTTGACAACTACCACACACAGGTGGTGCCTTCTTATTGCAGCATATCCTCTGCTGTCGTTGAAGATGCTTCAAGATCTGTGAGTTACTATGAGCAAGTCGTTGATGCCATATTTCTTCTTCAACTGCCTTATGCCTCTGTGTAAGTAGAGCCTTAGTTTCCTGCTAATCCACTCGGTAGAACCCCCAAACTTTTCTCCCGAGCATCACTGTGGTGTTGGTGCTATTGTCCTTGACATAAACACCAGTTTTGTCAAACACAAAAGAGCAGGGAAAATCATCGGTCAGTTTTGAAACTGAAAGAAGGTTCTTCTTGATTTCAGGAACCACCAGTACATCATTTAATGGTAACACATCAAGCTTAGACTGTAAGAATGCATTACTAGTGTAAGTAATAGGAATACATGATCCATTTCCTATCATGACAGTATCATTTCCAGTATACTTTGAGAGGTTATGAATTATACTAGGATTGGCAGTGATGTGGGGCTGTGGCTCCTGTGTCAGGATACCATTCACTTCCTGTAGGGTCCTCAAGATGCATTGCTGCTAGAGCTTGAGGAATAGTTTCATCTTGATAAGAGTTGTCAAACCGATACCAACATCGAAGTGCATCATGCCCTTGTCGTTTGCAGATTTGACATGCTATGCGAACTCCATCCGTTGCTTTCACAACCTGCAAATCCTTATAAGTTGCTGAGTTTTGAGTAGGATAAGACTTGGTCTCTTGATACCTCTGTGATGAATCAGTATGTGGTCGAAAACCAGAGCCTGCACTATAGGAGTTAGTCTGTGGTTTAAAATGCTGAACCTCTTGATCCTGATTTAGACTAAATGGTCTATAATTCTGACTTCTTCCTTGATAACCATAACCACGACCTCGATTGTCGAAGGAACGACCTTTGCCATAGTTACGTCCTCCCTTGAAACCACCTCTCTGTCCTATGAAAGCCAGATTAGGCTGATTAAGTTCTTTGCTAGTTACTATCTTCGGTTCCATCTCTACATTTCTTTCTCCGTAATATGCCAAGTTAGGATTAAACTGATTCGAGGAATAGTTCTGCAGTCTTGTTTCAAATCTTTCTAGCTGTGATATCACCTCATCATAATCAGGTTGAGGTTTCAAACAATACATGGTTGTTTTGAAGTTTTCATACTCAGATCCTAGTCCTTCCAGGATTCCAAAAACCTTAGTTATTTCATTCACAGGTTTTCCTATTGCATTTAGCTGATCACAAATCAGTTTGTACTCTCTAAGATAATCAGATAGTTGTCTATTTCGTTTCTGACATGCCTGCAGTTTCCCCCTCAATTCAAACTCCCTAGCTACTGATTTCTGAGTGAATCGATTCAGCAAGGTCTGCCATACCTCATAGGATGTTTCCATACTGATGATTAGCCCCAGGATATTCTCAGAAACTGCACCACTAATCTATGAAGACACCAGTTGATCGGTTTTCACCCAATCAGTGTAATCAAGATTGACTACTTCGATCTCTCTCCCATCAACTTCATCTTGTATTGTCTGAGGAGGTGGTGGAATTTCTCCATTGATGAAGCCAAATAGCTCTTGACTGCGAAGAAACCTATAAAACTGAGCTTGCCAGAGAAGAAAGTTGTCTTCAGCAAGCTTGATTGTAACGAAGTTAGCAATGTTGACATGAATAGGAAAAGGATATCTCGGTGTTCTTGCTGCCATTGTTATGTTCTCAGAGAATGAGATCAGAATTCACAGCTTTGCTCTCAGAGAAGGCTCTGATACCATGTGAAGAACTTGAGAAATGGAAGAAAGAAGAAGGAAATCTATAGTTGAAGATACGTGAACATCTATTCATCAGATTATGCAGAAAATCTCCATACGGAACTTCATTTGAGAGCCTAATCTCTCTCTTGTGTATCTCGCTGGTTATATAGTCCATACAGCTACAAATAACGCTCAAGTTTACAGCTTATATACCATAAAATACAACTGAACAACTAAACTAACAGAAGAAACAAATCTAACTAAACTAACAGAACTGAAAAACAGAATGTCAACTACTCTGTTTTTCCTTAGTTCTAAGAATAGAAATCAGTTACGCAGAACATTGTTGATACGTATAGAAGACTTGAGCTTCAGCTTTCCACTTCTTACTTGAGCTTCAGCTTTCCACTGCTTGTTCCTTTTCTGTAGTCTCAACACATACATGGCGTATTTTTTTTTTGGTCGAACGTACATGGCGTAGCCAAAGATTTGATTTTTTTTATTATCTTCCAACCACAATAATTTGGACACGTGTGATTTCAGTTTTCTTTTCTATTTTTGCGTCGGAATTTCAGTTTGATCAATTATGAGATTTGATAATGTGCGTCTAATTAGAAAAATTTAGGCAGGCAACCGACTCCTACGTATCAGTAAAGTGAGGTTGTATCGGATTTTGGCAAATTCTAATCGTCCTTAATTTGGCTGAGTCGGTAGGCTGCCAACTCATATAGTTGGCTGAGTTGGCGTATAGGAATATGAGTTTGGCATTTTGAATGCTTAACAAATCAAGCAAGTAAAGCTACTAAGGTGTTTTTTCTACCTAATTTAGCCATTTACTTTGAGTTCCATATATATTTATTTTCCTAAGCCACGAGCAAGTGACCGTAATATATTAGTTGGTAACTTGGTAGTTTGTAGTTTATTTTGAATGGTTTATGTTAACTCCAATTTGAAACCATAAAAATACAGTTCGCGCTCTAGAATAACAAAAATTATCTATGACATTAAGAGAGATAGATAATATATTTCGAAGACTATAATCAAATGATATAAATAATCAAATGCGTCAAAATTAATAAAACAGTAGAAACAAAAAAGAAGAAGAGAAAGTTGGACTTCTTTTCTGTTGCCTAATTTGGTCCGCAGACGTTTTTGCCGTACTTTCCAAGAATCTTCGCAGACATTGTGGAGCTTTGAAGGTGAATCAGTCCAACCAAAGTATAGACTTTGAAAGTGTCGTGGAAGAATATAGTTTGGTTGTGGAAATATCATTACCCTCGTGAAAACTACTTCCTCACCACTGATCCTGTCTCTTGCACCTCCCTTTTCAATTCCTATGCTCATTTCTTCTTGATATATTCAATTTTTTTTTACGTACGTAGAGGCAATAAGATTTAGAAATTAAGTAAGATCATTTTAATTTTCAGCAATTTAGCTAGCAAAAATACACGCAAAATTGTGCGCGTGGTAAATATAAATACAAGAACAAAGAGAGCATACATCTCGGTGTAAAGGAAATTTCACACAAGCGGCCCAATCCATCCTTGATTTGGGAATTATAACAACTCGCTCTCCCAAATCAATGAATGGATGATACAGCCCAAATAATTTTCTTTTACGCTCCACTAATGGTGGTGTTGGTTATAATTACTTGGAAAAATACATTGATTCACCAAGAGGAGCGCAAGGGGGGCAAAACAAATTTGAGCTGCATATTGTCCATTCGAAATGAAAAAAACTACAGAGAACTGGATTATTTAGTTATGCCAATGAAAAATGTCTACTAAAATGTCAAATTACTATCGATGCGTGATGGTTCGCTTAGGTAGTGAGGATTTTTGCCTTACTTAGTGAGGCCGACTCGCTTTATATTTAAGGGATTTCGATTTGGAGTTCTTGGATGATTACATTTCGAAAAGTGATGCCAGGAACCAATTTAAAGGTCGGTTTATATATATATTTTTTTCATTTTTAGTTATTTGTAGTATGCCAAATCATGTGCTTATTTATTTGCAAAATAAGCAAAAACAAGCCATACCTCACGGTCCCTCAAAAGCTCCAGCTCAGAAAGGCCTGATTCGCCTGAAGTTGCACAGCTAACCTTGTGCTACCTCGTAGTAGGGGTGAGCGGTTTTCGATCCGGTCCGATCCGATCCAAGAACCGGGAACATGATCGGTTTCCAGTTTTTAGGATCGGGAACCGGTTCGGCTAGTCTTGGGACTGTGTACCGGACTGGACTGATTTCAATGGGACCAATCACTTATTGATAAAGGCAGGAGAGAATTGAGAAAATTAGATTAGGCTTTTTATTTTTTTCAAAAATTTTAAAATGTAAATAAATATATATATGAAAAAATTAGAATAATATATATATTTATCGGTCTGATCCGATCCGATTCCCATTCTAGAATCGGGAACCAGACTAATATTCTCAAGAACCAAACTAAATTGATTGGTCCTGTCCGATTTTAATTTGAGTGGTACACCTTGCTCACCCCTAGGCTTATAGCGCTTCGAAGACAACTAGGAGGAGGCAATCAAGGGCCGTAAGCCTGATGAATGAAGTCGTCACAAACCCCATCGCTCGTTGGGGCACCTTCGTTCATCTTCTTCAGAAACCACTATTCCACCGACGCCAACGTCGCCAGCTTGTTCAGCAAGTACGTGGACAGGACCAATGTCTGGTCTTGGAATTCGGTCATCGCTGAGCTGGCTCGCGGGGGCGACTCGGTCGAGGCTCTTCGAGCCTTCGCGTCAATGCGGAAGGCCTCGCTCAGACCCAACCGCTCCACGTTCCCTTGCGCCATCAAGTCGTGCTCCGCCTTGCTCGACCTCTTCTCCGGAAAACAGGCCCATCAGCAGGCTTTGAAATTTGGGTACGAGCCTGACCTTTTCGTTTCGTCGGCTCTGATTGATATGTACTCGAAATGTGGCGACTTGGGGGGTGCAAGAAAGGTGTTTGATGTAATTCCTCAGAAAAATGTTGTCTCTTGGACGTCGATGATTGCTGGGTATGTTCAAAATGACGAGGGGCGCGAAGCGTTGTCTCTTTTCAAAAAGTTTTTGGTCGAGGAGAGAGAGTGTGGGAGAGATGCGGAGGTTTTTGTCGATTCCGTGGCCATGACTTCTGTGCTGTCAGCTTGTTCTCATGCTTCCAATGAGGTAACTACCAAAGGGGTTCATGGATTTGTTGTCAAAAGAGGGTTTTATGGGGTTTTGGGCGTCGGGAATGCTTTGATGGATGCGTATGCAAAGTGTGGCAAGGTGTCTACATCGAGGAAAGTGTTTGATGAAATGACTGAAAGAGATGACTTCTCCTGGAATTCAATGATTGCGGTGTATGCACAGAATGGACATGCGGTAGAGGCTTTGCAACTTTTCACCAAGATGATAAAGGATGGCGACAGTGATTACAATGCTGTGACACTTTCGGCCGCCTTGTTAGCCTGTGCGTGTTCTGGGGCTCTACGTGCAGGAAAGTGCATACATGATCAGGTAATTGGAATTTGGCTATCTAAATGTAAATTCAACTTTGAAATTTTTTTTTATCCCCAGGTTAGCCTCGAGGAAATATGTTTCCTGAGACAAATGAGTTATTGTCAATCTGAAGTTCGATTTTGTTAAAACCTTGTGCTTTACATAGGTTATGAAGATGGATTTGGAGGACAATGTGATTGTTGGCACCTCTATCATTGACATGTACTGCAAATGTGGGAGAGTTGAAATGGCAAGGAGGGCATTTGATCGCATGAGGGACAAAAATGTGCGGACATGGACCGCCATGATTGCTGGATATGGAATGCATGGCCGTGCCAGAGAAGCTTTAGAAGTTTTCTATGAGATGGTTATAACTGGAGTTAGACCTAACTATGTGACCTTTGTGTCAGTTTTAGCTGCTTGCAGCCATGCTGGTCTAGTTGATGAAGGCTGGCGTTGGTTTAGTTCCATGCTTCATGAGTACGAGATTGAACCTGGGATTGAGCATTATGGTTGCATTGTCGATCTTCTTGGGCGCGCTGGATGTGTCAGTAAAGCCTATGAGCTAATCAAGGGAATGAAGGTGAAACCAGATTTCGTTATTTGGGGTTCTTTGCTTGGAGCTTGTAGAACTCACAATAATGTCGAGCTTGCGGAAATTTCAGCTAGGAAGATATTTGAATTAGACCCAGATAACTGTGGTTACTATGTATTGCTTTGTAATATTTATGCTGATGCTGAAAGATGGGAAGATGTGGAGAGGATGAGAACAATAATGAACAGCCGTGGGCTAGTCAAAACACCTGGATATAGTTTGGTTGAACTAAAAGGTAGGGTACACATGTTTTTAGTTGGAGACAAGGGGCACCCTCAGCATGAGAGGATATACGAGTACTTGGAGAAAATATATGTGAAATTGAAACAAGCTGGTTATTTACCCAATATTACATCAGTTGTCCACGATGTCGAGCATGAAGAGAAAGAAATCATGCTTCAAGTTCACAGTGAAAAATTGGCTGTTGCCTTTGGGATCATGAATTCAACTCCTGGTACAGTGATTCAAGTCATTAAGAATCTCAGAGTTTGTACTGACTGTCATACAGTAATCAAATTGATCTCCAAGGTTTCTAATAGGGAAATTGTGGTAAGAGATGCAAAAAGATTTCACCATTTTAGAAATGGGCTGTGTTCATGTGGGGACTACTGGTGATGGGTGGGAAATTGAGAGACAAATGAAGAATGGGAAACACAAGATGCTGAGCAACTCATTTTTCGATGAGGATGATGAAAGGACATCAGAGAAAATTAGTCTAGGGCCACAATCTTGGGTCATGCATGGTATATAGTATGTGGAATCTCGAAAAAAAGAGAGAGTTCTCGATGCTTGGTAAGGACAGTTACTGCAAGGGCTGCTATTGAATGCCACATTTTTTCCAGAATCAAGATGCCATGACCTGTTTTTGTTTTAGTATTTTGGTATGTGAGTCATAAGCCAAGGTGGCTATTGCTTCTGAAGTGGAAACTGTCTTTATTTAAGAGAAGTGATCTACACATGCACAGTAATACGTGCTTACACAAGCAGTTCAGTGAAATCATATTAACATCCTCAACTCTGTTGTCAAATTCACACAATCGACAAAAGCCTATGGGAGAAAAGTTCAAAATTGGAGATTCAACCCACAGGCTACACTTTCATAGACAGGTGAATAATCAGGATTTGTTGTCGAAAAAATTGCTTACGAATTCAGAGAAATCTGAAACAATCAGGTTTCTCGTCTCAGCTACTGAGAGATATTCGGGAACTGTGAATTCACAAGAGGCTAAACTAATGGAACACCAGTCTCTTGGCCCTGTCAGTTTCTGTGGCTAATTGTCCATGAGCTCTGGTGTGTGTTATCCCTCTGGAGCTCATTCGCCTTCCTCAAGCAATGCCCGGATTTCCAAGTGATGGATATTTATATGGGTGAGCCACCCAAATCTGTGGACCGCCCATGTCGAGCTAGCCCAGCCCTAAGGGCCCATCTCAGGCAATTGCTGTGGCAATCACTCAAGAATCACGTAACTGCTATCAGCGGTCTTAATAGGGAAATAAATTTCACGAGATAAGTAGAACAATAATGAGAAAGGAAAAAAAGAACATAATCACAATCACAGAATGAGGAAGACGTTTTGACGTTTTGTAGAAGACTTTCCTCTCTGCACTCAAACCTTGAAGTGCGATCCAAGGAACTCTCGAACCTGCGATTGGAGGCATCTAATCCGTGGAATCATGGTACATTCTTTATGTGATATGTCTGTACGATCGGTGATACAAATTGATGATTATCGAACACGTTTTCCGCATTGTTAGAATATGTTGTGAATATGTTCATCTAGGAATATGTTCACCCAACACCAAGTCTCAACCTTTAATCTTCAAGTATATGTTGCGACAGACTAAGCTCAGAAACGTTCAAGACTTGATTCGAAGGGATCACTTCAGGAGATTAATCGACTGTTCACCGCAGAAATTACGAAGAACAATCGTCCGTGGAAGCAGTGGCAACACGAGCATTCACGGGCTGAAGCCATAAGCCCCGAGTCACTTCTAGTTGCCATCGGATAGCTCGAGACGCAAGCTCTTCTGCTCACTGCTCACTCCGTCGATGGTTCTTGAGGACATGTATACAGAGTATTTACCTTTTGCATTAATATACTGACTCGGTTGTTTTCAGAGGGGGCTATCGTTTGTATTTTATTTCATCAGAATCGCTCTTGAAAGCTCTCAAATAGAGCATTCCATTCCAAGATTCTATTAAATCATAGAAATTCTGTTGATTAATTATATTCAGTAAAAAAATAAAATTATTAACTTTAATAATTTTTTGTTTTCGCTTTTATGGTTGTTAATGTTGTCTGGTGCATGCGGACATTCCGGGCATTGACAGGACAGCGCCAATGCATCTCCCTTGAAATGAGCACGTTTGGGATGAGCATTTCACTTGCGAACCGGATAAAATCTGAGCCGTCGAATGAATCTGTCGAGACTCGAGAGCCAAGCAATCCGACGGCTTGCTTTCAACGGGAGCGCTCCACGTGGCGTTCGGTGGGGAGTGCCAAAATCGCAATTACTGGGAAAAGGAGGGTCGCCCCTCGCATGTCTAAATTCGTCACGCGACTCGAGGGGACACCGTCCAATTAGGACGCAGTAACAGAAAAACTGAATCGAAGAAACCCTCGATTCGCAGCTCGGCCGTTTCTCTCTCTCTCTCCCTCGCGCGCGCTCTGAGCGATCTCCGTCCACCGCTGCCATGGCGCTCCCGGAGTACTCGCGCCAATCGCTGATCCCTAGCTTCCTCTACGCGCCCTCCTCGTCCGGGGGCCTCGCCGCGGAGAGGATCCCCGCCGCCGGCGCGAGCCCCGTGGAGAAGCGGAGGAGCTTGGTGATACCGTCCCCGAGCGAGCCCGGGAAGAGGATCGAGATGTACTCGCCGGCGTTTTACGCCGCCTGTACCGCCGGAGGCATCCTCAGCTGCGGCCTCACCCACACGGCCGTCACCCCGCTCGACCTCGTCAAGTGCAATATGCAGGTCGCCAGCTCGATGCCTTTTGTTGACCTTGGGTGAATAGATGAGATCTCGGTTCTAGTTAAGATGGTGATGAGTCTCGTTGCTATGTGGAAACAGTTTGCTTGTTTCTTTTTTCTTATTTGTTCTCATTCGTGATGGTGATTGACATAACCGTGGTTTTCTCCTGTTTACCGGTGTCCGTAATCCGATTTTCCGGGAGATTAACGAACAGTGACGCTTGATTAGGTTTTTCATGCTGTATAGAAGCTGCAAGTGTTGAGATGAGTGGAACATCAAAGGGATGCATTAGTTTGGATTTGCGATCAATATATCCTTTTCAAACGAACAATCTGTGTCACGCACATAGCTATAGGGGCGCATTTTGTTTGAGGGTGTGTGATGCTCCACCTTTTTACCGGAAAATGAATCTTGTGAATCCTCTTACTCAGGGACAATTCTTTAGATGTAGAATTAATGAATTGCTGATTGAATTGGTCATTTGTGTTCCTAATTGGAAGGGGCCATGTAGATCTTGTTTTCACGAATTAGTACTGCCTTTTTTCACATGACAACCGTCATAGAGTTTTTGATGGTGCAGATTCTTTTCAACATGAGGTGTGTTTTTTGATGAGCTTGCACTATTAGTGTAGAATATCTTTTTCTATTCCATCGTGGGTTTCTTTCTCCCTTAATGCTGGGCATCTTCATTCCTGTTTAAGTGAGTGCGTACTATGTTGGACTTGTAGGCAAGTCGAGAATATCCACTATGTTGTTTATTTTTTATGGGCAAAACGAATTTGGGAAACTCCTGACTGTATTCCATGTGCTATTTTCAACTGTTAGCTGCAAAGTTCTTCCTTATTAAAAAATATGATTTTAAACTGAGGTTATTTTCATTGGAATTTCAGATTGACCCTTCGAAGTACAAGAGCATCACATCTGGTTTCGGAGTGTTACTGAAGGAGCAGGGAGTGAGAGGCTTTTTCAGGGGTTGGGTGCCAACTCTACTTGGTTATAGTGCTCAAGGTGCCTGCAAGTTTGGATTCTATGAATTTTTCAAGAAATACTACTCTGATATTGCTGGACCAGAGTACGCATCAAAATACAAGACCTTGATCTACCTCGCTGGGTCTGCATCTGCTGAGGTGATTGCAGATGTCGCTCTCTGCCCATTTGAGGCCGTAAAGGTCCGGGTGCAAACTCAGCCTGGTTTTGCAAGGGGTTTATCAGATGGACTTCCCAAGTTTGTTAAATCTGAAGGTGCTCTTGGGTATGTTTAGAACTATTTTGCTAAGTAGTTGATTAAAGAGATTTAATAGTATCCAATGCAAACCCTCAGTTGGTAACTTGTCCCTTTCTGCTTGGAATAGGTTGTACAAGGGCATTGTTCCTCTTTGGGGTCGTCAGATTCCATGTAAGTTTTCTCAACATTTCTACTTCTTCCAATCTTATTGAAATAGTTCTTACACACGGTTTTTAAGCTAATCCGTCACATCCGCTTGCTCATTTGTATGATGGTTTGGTCCATGTTGCTCTGTTATATATGGTTATGCTGCATAGATTGATCTGATAAAGCTTCATTAATATTAGAGTCTGCACAGCTAGTCCTGTGAAGCTGGAAAAAAGGGCTTGTTTTGTTATGTTTATCGCATGTTTTCAAGAAGTAGGTTGGTTTTACTAGAAGTTATATTTTTTTACAATGGACAAGATCCCTGCCTTTCTTGTTTTGTTGGAACGAATTACATTGACTCTGAGCGCTTCATCTATGCCTGTACTTGGCCATGCTAACTAATTGATAGTTTAAAGATGACTTGTAGGCACTTGGACTCGCCTCGAGCTTCACTGCTGCTTGTTTAATCCCTGAAAGGATGGTTAAACATTTTTGTAGTTTGTCCTTGTGTCGTGTTAGTTACTTCATACTTGAGTCTCATACATTTTGCAATCCCTCGTTTCTTTTACCGGTAAAAGGTTGGTTCATTTTAGCTTTGTTTAATTTTTGTACAGAATTACGTTCAATTGATCTAGAGCTTAATTGTATTGCAAATATCATCTGTGAGTGGAATATCTTGAATGAGATGGGTTGCAGCCTCACTCTGGGTTTTGACCGTGAATTAGTCCTACTTTCCCAGTGAGACTTGTGGAGGCATGCGTGTGCTCCTTAATTCATTTTGGTGTCAAGTCTTAGTTGTCACTTGTCAGTTATCCGCACATGCATCATTATCATGATGACAGAGAAGTCGAGTCCTTTGAAACTTTCTAAGTGTGCTTCCCCCACAATTTTCATGTTGTCAAGGCAGTAGAAGAGTTTTTGTGCTTTATATGTATTGGCATAATTCAGAGGCAGTTGAATGATTTGTGTACTCCATATGTGATTATAGAATGCACTTTGATCTGATCCACCAGTGTTTGCTTTATACTTTTTCTCAAGTTAGCTTAGTGTTTGCTAGCTGTTAATGTCGTCTAACAATGCTTTCTACTGCAGATACAATGATGAAATTTGCTTCTTTTGAGACCATTGTGGAGCTGATTTACAAACATGCCATTCCCAGACCTAAAGATCAGTGTAGTAAAAATCTGCAGCTTGGTGTGAGTTTTGCTGGCGGATATGTTGCAGGAGTTTTCTGTGCCATTGTGTCTCATCCTGCTGACAACCTTGTCTCCTTCCTCAACAATGCCAAAGGGGCAACTGTTGGTGATGTGAGTCTTCTTTAATAGTTGATTTTCCCGAGTGCCCCAGCTTATGTGCTGATCCCTTTCCCTTTGGTCAAGCAGGCAGTGAAAAAGCTAGGATTATGGGGTCTCTTCACTCGTGGACTTCCTCTTCGTATTGTCATGATTGGAACTCTTACTGGGGCCCAGTGGGGGATCTATGACGCCTTTAAAGTTTTCGTGGGACTGTAAGTTCTTACACCTGCACCTCTGCATACTCCATGTTCTTTGGATCACGTTTTCTTACGTTTGCTGAGGGGTCATTTTGTTTTGTCTCAGGCCAACCACTGGTGGTGTTGCTCCTGCTGCTGCCCCTGCTGTGCTTGCAAAGGCTTAGACTGTGGAAAGATCAAGATCGGCATTTATCATTTTTCGACACCTCTTTGAAAGGAATAATGATAGGATTACTGAAGCTGCTTCAGCTCTTGGGCAATATGGGTGATTATTTGACAACTAGAACTTGTGTCTTTCCATTGTTAAGGCATGTTGGTTTCGTTGACATGTCTGCGATATCGTATATTGATCCATGAATATTCTTTATATGCGAGTCAGATGAGAAAATTTGGACCCAATCAATATTATAGCCTAGGACTCAATAATGGGCAGGTGTGGGTGGATTGGATATTCACTTGTCTGCCAATTTTGGTTACGAATGGTATTTGCAATTTATGGATGAGGTATGGCAATCAAAATCATGCCTGTTCTTTCTGGTCGATGCTAGTTTATTGTTTTTCTAGTTCAGTTTTTTTGAGATTGCTTCTGTGTGTATTATGTTTGCTATACGTACTTTAAAACTTTGCTCTCTCTCTCTCTCTCTCTCTCTCTCTCTCTCTCTCTCACCTTCGCCCAATGAGAAAATGGGTCGGATTCTATGAGATGAAACCTATGGGACTTAAAGGAACGATGGAAGTGAATAAAAAAGGAAATTAAAAGAAAGACAGGGAAAATAATAAAAAAATAAGTAAATAAAATGAAGCAGAAGAACCCAGATTAAAGCCGGAGCGCTTAAATGCAGATGAATTTGGAGGACATCTCTTTGCTTCACGATCACTCGCGACTCGCGACCTTGACGAAGATGTCAACCGATGTTTGGTAGGACTTGGAATGTTGTACGGATGTACTGATTACCTTTAGCTGTAACATAGAAAAAGAGCTTACGACGTTGCTAGTTATATTTTACCAGTAAGGTAATGGGTAAAGAATTTGACCTTAATATTGCCCATAAGAAAAGATCTTTAAATATATTGCTTTCTTTTAAATAAATACCGTCTTTTGTTTTTCCACAAGTTTCAAGAGAATAGTCGGCATTCAGCTATTGCTAGTCTTAGCAAAAACGGAGGACGAGTCCTTCGCAGGTGCAACTAGACAGAAATCAAACGTACGAAGGTATCGACATTCAAGTTTAACGCGGTTAAGCAACGGCGTGGGTCTTTCTTAGAAGGCGAGTCATGACTCATCATGGTCAACATTCATCTGCTCCACCAAAGTCTTCTTCTCCCATTATTATAAAGACCATGCGTTCATCATCACCTCTTCTAGAAACGCTGAAAACCATTCTTATCTGCGCCCGCACATACATATTATTTTCGGTTTTTCACCACTTGATCTGAGCTATATAACCGTGTCTCCAGTCTCCACCTAAAACACCAATCCCACAAACCATCCCTCCGACTTCAGATCTTCACTTGTCCTCGGTATCATCTTCCGAACCGAAGAGCATGAGCAACAACACCGGCAACCAAGATTCACGACCCCAGTACCCTCCCAATCCCCTGTCTGAAAGAGAGACAAACCCCTTTTCTCAAGAACCACCATCCAAAGAGATGGACACCAATCCATTTCACCAAGAACCACCACCCAAGGAGATGGAAACCAACCCATTTCACCAAGAACCACCCTCGCTGAGAGAGGCACCTCCTCTCTTTCCATCCATGCCTGCTTCCGCACCAACAGATGAAAGAAACCCTTTTCACCAAGAGCCAAGAGAACCACAATCTCACCTCCCTTCTGCGTACCCTCCTCCCCCAGCAGAAGAAACAGCAGTCCCGATTCGCCGAGAACCATCGTCGAAAAGCATCCAAGAGAATGAATCTCCTCCTCCTCCTCCGCAATATGTTGCATCATGTTCTTCTTCATCTCAACCGCCCTGTGAGGGAGAGAGTGCAGAGAAATGGGGGACTCATGTGATGGGGACACCGGCTGTTCCCACGATTCACCCTGATAACAAGAAGGCTGCCTTCTGGGGAGCCACCGAGGCTCAAGCTCAGTCCCATCATCATCCTTATCTCCAGTACAGTCCGATTGAAAGATCATCGGGCTCAAGTAGTAGTCCTATGGAGAACATCCTGCATATGTTCAACTCATGGAGTCATAAGGCCGAGAAAGTAGCCACCAACGTTTGGCAAAACCGTAAGCACTTTAAACATAAGCTCTTTGCCTCAATTATTATCTCTTTGCTCTATTTAGAAGTATCATAGCCCTCGGCGTGAAAGTTCTTTGGTTGATCTTTGGATGAGCTAGAGGAAGCAAAGTCAAACAAGATGAATAGGTCGCGGAGACATGATGCCAGCATTTCGAACGCAAATTTCCATGTTTCAATAAAAAAAACAAATCCCATATATTTTTTTTGCGGGAAAAGTGTCATAAAAGTCCTAAACCTTTTACATTGATGCCAATTTAGTCCTAAACATTTTTTTTGTGCCAATTCAGTCCTAAACTTTTTAGATTTGTGCCGATTTAGTCCTAAACCTTTTTTTGGTGCCAATTCAGTCTTAAACCTTTTTTTGGTGCCAATTCAGTCTTAAATCTTTTGTATTGGTGCCAATTCAGTCCTAAACCTTTTGCATTGGTGCCAATTGAGTCATAAACCTTTTTTTGGTGCTAATTGAGTCCTAAACCTTTTGCATTTGTGCCAATTCAGTCTTAAACTTTTTGCATTTGTGCCAATTTAGTCCTAAACCTTTTTGAGCTAAATTAATCGGAAGGACTGAATTGGCACAAATACAAAAGGTTTAAGACTGAATTGGCACAAATATAAAAGGTTTAGGTGCCAATTGAGTCCCAAAAAAAGGTTTAGGACTCAATTGGCACCAATGCAAAAGGTTTAGGACTGAATTTGCATCAAAAAAAGGTTTATGACTAAATTGGCACAAATACAAAAGGTTTATGACTTTTTTGACACTAAATTGGCACAAATCCAATGAGTATGCACATTCAATTGAAAAGTTGAAAACAGCTCAATCAAAATGTAAAACATATTTCAGTGAAATTGTCTGGTTTCATTCAGCTCTCGGAATGTTTCCTTTGTCGATGCAATGAACTATGCCTACCCATATGATGCTAAAGATTTTGATTTGATCAGTGAAAACTGGCTCATCTGTGTCCGGAGCTGCATGGGCGAAGGTCAACTTAAGAGCCAAGGCCATCACCGGAGGGGGGTTCGAGACTCTTTACAAGCAGACTTTCGCAACCTATCAAAATGAGACGCTCAGGAAGAATTTTGCATGTTACTTGTCCACGACAACCGGACCAGTTGCCGGGACTCTCTATCTCTCTAACATTCACGCTGCGTTCTGCAGCGACCGCCCCTTATCCTTCACCGCGCCGTCTGGTCAGGTCACTTGGAGCTACTACAAGGTAATGGCACAGGCCACAACACGCTAGATACTAATGTTGACCATATAGACTGATTCCACTGGACCGATATGCTGAAACGTTCACCATAACCATGAGCTTACGAATCATTCTGACTTGCCAGGTGATGGTGCCCCTAGGCCAAATTGGCGCCGTAAACCCCGTGGTGATGAGAGAGGGTCAATCAGAGAAGTACATTCAGATCGTTACATTCGACGGGCACGATTTCTGGTTCATGGGCTTTGTCAATTACGAGAAGGCAACTCGCCATCTGACACAGAGCATCTCCGCATTCGTAGCACCCGGTGTTGCTGTACCACAACTGCCTCCACCTCCGCCACCAGCTGCTGCATAAGATTCTCTCCCGGATTATTTCCCTTATACGACCTTGTATTTTTCTCGGCGCGTTGTTTGTCATATTCCAGAGTGCCATCTTTTTTTCCCCAGTTTTCTTTTTCTGGTCTAACTGTTTGTCGGAGTTTAATTCATTGGATTTTAGCCGTACAAATTACATATGCGGTGGCACCACGGTCATGCATGCTTTTTCCGAATTCCTGATGCAGGATGGAATTTACAGAGAAATTTCTGAGCTTCGTGATGTTTTTCAAAACTCAAACGAGCAAACAGTCATACATTCAATCCATCCTTTTGCTCCGAGATATCAAATCTGCTTATGGAGACTAGTCCATACGTCCTCGATGATCCTAAAAGTAATACAAGAGACTCAATAATAAATGTTCACAGATAGAGAGATAAAGGACGATGTCCTAAACATCGCCATTATTATATTATAACCTGCCACTCAGATATCGCGAGACGATGTCTCGGCACGGATTACACTCAAAAACACAAGTATCCGTGCAATTTTCCGTATTGTGATTTACTCTGTCTACGACGCCAACATCCAAAGAAATAATCTAACCTAAAACTTCTACTTCTAGGCAGAGAAATTTCAAAACCTGCACAGACTCAAGGGAAGCACCGTTCCCAGTGGGTAATGGTTAAGAGTAAAAGGTAATTTGAAAACAGTTTCTACACTTTCAATGCCCACCATTGCAAATTTAAGCATCTAATTACCCTTCAAACTTAGTGGAAAGTTGGAAGCTTCGACACTGTAATAAAGACTAGGCTTCCAAACTTCTAGTAATATTATCCCGCAACAAACGATCACCACGTGAACAATTACAACGGCTCTTAGCTACAAATTTCAGAGGGGGGTAATCACGTGGCGTGGCATTTATTCATGAAGATGGCACAACCTATGGTGTAATGACAAAATCAAATGTCCATTCCAACTTATGCAGAAATGAGATACAGCAGCACATAAACGCTCAATCCAAAATTGATAAGCCATTAGTACCGTAAAGGTGTAAACTAAACAAAACACAAAATTAGCAGTGATTCGTGCCATGCCTTACGAAAGATAAATTGGTTCATCTATCACCGGCTAAAACTATCTCAATAGTAGAACTCTTCTTTCTAAAAAGGTAAACACAGACAACGTTCCTGTGAGCTGAAGATCTGGCCTTGCCTCACGAACAAAACTTTCAGCTTCACCGCCTCTTCTTGCTACCCTTGGCTCCACTGGATTTTGATGGGGTACTGATCAAGTACACAAACAGAACCATAATACTGATCACAGAAATCAGAGATCCGTATTTGGCCAGCAGTCTCTGCAATAAGGGAACAAGACCAAACAGAGTTCAATAAAAGGTAATGTTGATCTCTCAACACTATCCTAATCAAGTTTAATGCATAAAAAAAAGATATTCTCAACAAAAAGATCAAAAGCAAGGTACGCAGGTCTTACCTTAGCCTGCAAAGTTCAGTTGGTCAATAAGATAAATCCATGCAAAAGAAAAGGGGCAAAGTTAGAAAGAAGAAATTTTCCACAAATCAATAATAACCATCTTTAGAACATAGTAGTCGGTCTTTAACTTACCCACTCAAATTTCTTCTCAGGAGGTCTCTCTGCAAGGATATCGAGAGGCAGTATAGGAGTAGAGTAGGCCAACTAAAACAAGCAAGGATTTTCTATTAGATGGAGGAAAAGAACACATCTGGGCACAGAGAGAGAGAGAGAGAGAGAGAGAGAGAGGCAGCATCGGCACTATCATGGTTTCCGACCTGTAGAGGAGCCTTTGTTGGGATACGGAACTTAATGACTGCTGGTGCCCCGAAAAACATCCCTTTCTCTTTAGCCTCCAACTCAAAAGAATGAGATAGAAGACCACCACTGCACTCATTAAACGCCAATTTATTAAGTTGCATAGGAGACAAGTACACCAAATCGATATTTGTGGTGTACCAAATGGGTATTGACTATGTAAGGAGAAAGTCGGCAGAATAGAAAAACAGCTAAAGGCAGAACTCACGCATCCAGTCTATCCCATGACTGAGAAGTGTTGCCATTGACAACATCAAACAGTTCTTGAGACCAGCTATCATCAGAAAGACTTACATCATATGCGATCCTGTGCAGACAAAAATCAGAATGAATCTCCATGGATAAAGAAGATTGTTAGTCAACTGAATGTACAGACAACGCCCAGTGAGAATAAACACAAAGATCAAACATATTCCACAAGAAAAACAGAGCAATTTATCTTTCATCTGATCAATAGATCTCCTGCAATGCCCTCTCAGCCAACTTAAAATTTAGAAACATGTACTGATACGATGACCAACTTCATTTAGTAGTGTGACTGACTTTTATCGGTGTTTAGGAAGTTAATATGCCAAGAGAGGTCATAAATTTACTTACAACAATCTGGTATCTTCCATTTTAGATTTTGGAAGAGTGATCTTCCCAGACTTTCCTGTTTGACTGGGAAGCCATGTAGACAATGGACATAGCATGCACATGTAAGGTATATACTATACTGAACTTTATATCTCAAATTTTTCTTTCCTAACAGTTCCAAATGCTCCTCACTCCAACAGCCACCCATGCAACTAATTAGCAATACAATGAACGGCATTTTCAAATGGCTTCATTTCAATGACGCGTCCAACACAATTCTGTTGACTTTGTGAAGACAAAAGTTCCATTTACCTAAACTTTCGACACATGAAAGCAATAGAAATTAAACTAAAAGAGAAATCTTTCAATAATCTGAACAAGAAAAGGATCTTCAACAATATTATAGGACATGCTTCCGCATCATGCTTCAGCTTTAAGGTGCAAACATCAGATGGGTTTAGATTGATCAATGCACAATTTGATAGACTGTGTAAGTATTCTTCCTGGAATTTCTAAAGCCTATACCCCTACAACAGTGAGCCTAATCACCGACACACGTTTTGGCTAATCTCAACTTCGAAAGTGCAAATCCAATTGACCAATCGCTCAAGTGTAAAGCAACAAGAAGGCACTACAGTCCTAATCAACCACGAGAGTTCAATTAATAGAGCAATATCAAAATTCGCAACTACCGGTTCGCCAATTGCATGTCCTATTACTGTCTAGAATTCCAATGAAAGTTTCATATGTAGTTAAATAACACATGCAAAAGATCAGGCCCCTAGCTCATCTAGCTTCAAGCACCGAAAGAGAACAAAAAACAGCTAAACCGAAACAATTCATGCCAGAGAAGATAAGGTATTTCAAATCAAACGGAAAACAGAAATACAAGATCTACCACCATCCCGAAAGCACCAGCCGGAAAAAAAAAAGGCATCAAATCTAGATCAATCGAGCAAATCGCCAACGGATTCAATTCGAAGGAGACGGAACTCACGAGGATCCCTGATTGTAGACGTCGATGGAGACGAGGACGCGCTCGGCGCCGGACTTGAGCCGCTTGAGGGCGGCCTTCTTGTGAGCGACGATGAAGGGGACGTCGGAGGCGGCGAGGCACGGCGACGCCAGCAGGAAGAGGAGGGCCAGGACGGCGAGGACCGCCGAGCGCGGGATCGGATTCGCCATCTCCGTCGTGCGGTGCCGGGGGGCGGAAGGGCCGCTAGGTCTGGAGATGTTTTTGGAGCTGAATTGGTCAACGGCGAGCCAGTGAAATGGAGACGACGAGGCGATCTGGTTCTCTCTCTCTGTCTCTCTGCCCCTCTTTTTAAAGATGAAATGGGCTTTACCGCATTTGGGCCCAGAGCCCAACTTTCATGGCCCGTACCGGGTCGGGTCATTCTATTCTATGGTTAGGTGTTGACTAATGGAATTAGGAAACAATTTTATAAATAATAATATCAAAGAAAAGGCTAGGAAACAATTTTCAAAGGAGGGTTTGGTAATGATGTGGGGGAGAAGGAAAAGGAAAGTTGCGACTAAGATGAAAAGAAATCATTATAAATGCCTCTCTAAAGATATATAAATCGGATGAAAAAGATGATTATGTTTTACCATTCAAGACATACCGAGGCGATCTTCCGGGCCAATCACTCTGCAACAAGACGATAATGTGTCACAATAATTTTAAAGACATTGTTTTCATTATTAAAAATTTCGATGATGTCTTTCTTGATTGTCTTTCTTGAATACCACGTGACACGAGATTGCACGAGACAGACAATTGGTTTTTTATTCCACGTTCGTTCGTACTTAAAGTGGTGAGAAATTATTTAATTTTCGTCAAAGTGCTGTACCTTTGCAAGCGGTTCTTTTCATTGCTAAAACTGATCATGTGAGACCTCTCTTTCTTTCACGTACTTTGCTGCTTGTGCGTCCATTTAGTCCTAGCAATGTACCCATTTATGGAGGGCTTGCAAGAGAATATAGGAAGATCATATTCCAAAGACCACGTATATAATCTTTTGGAGGTCCTGCTCCGATCGAGTCAGCGTGCCTCATCCAAAACACCTCTCTCTCTCTCTCTCTCTCTCTCTCTCTCTCTCTCTCTCTCTCTCTCTCTCTCTCTCTCTCTCTCTCAGGTGTGCAAGATCAAAGCTGACTTTCAAATGGAGGAATAAATTCCTCCGCATGGAGGAAGGATTGCTTATGTGTAATATTCACTGTGCAAAAAGGTCCATCGCCAGAGATATGGATGGATGGCTTTAATTCGAACATGGCATTCATCAATTATTACATTGCGGGAGGCCAACTTGCGTTAGAAGTCAATATTCTTCAGTTTAGTTGCTTCAAAAGGTCTGCTGACACAACATTAATGAGTAGATCTGTACTCGTATGAGTACTGGGATGTCTTTTAGCAATGCGGGGTGTACTAAGATTGGTCCGCATAATTGATACCCCCGACAATGTGGCAAAGGTGTGAATGAACATTTGAATAAGTGGACCATATTCAACGCTCAAGCAAAATTCATTGCGTCACTTAGTGTGCCAGTTTTAAGAAGGGGTCTTGATACATCTAAGTTGTTGCCTAAGAAAGAGGGAAGATTAGTAGGCCTTATGGAGATTAGAATGGAGGAATAAAGCTTGTATTATGGCTGCTTATGGCTGATATTTGCTCAGGCATGGCCTATATGGGTGCTTGGCTACAAGTTTATAAGCTTAAAAACAAGTCTTTTTGGACTTTGAAGATCCCAGCTGATGCACCTTATGTTTGGAAGGAAAATCTTGAAACTAAGAGAGGTTTTTAAACCTCATTTGAAACATGTAATCGGTGATTGTTCTTCTGTTTTCCCTAGGCATGATGACTGGCATCCTGTTGGTCCTCTGCTCATTTATATTCCTGCTAGAATTGTCTATGATTCTGCATTGCCGTTTCAAGCAAAGGTGCAGGATGCTCAGCTTGGCATTGGCCACCAGCTAGGTCTGATGACCTAGTTAGGATTTAAGATGACTTGTGTGGCTCCTTAATGCCGAATCCTTCTGTTGCTGATTGAGCAATATGGAAATTGACTCCACCTGGTACATTCACAATTGGGAGTGCCTGGAACTTGCTAAGAGGAAGAAGTCCAAAAGGTATTGTGGAGAAAGCTGGTCTGGTTCAATTCCTGTATTTCCTCAACACTGTTTTATTGCCTAGTTATATGCACAGTCGACTAAAGTGGGACATTCAGGTTCCTCCACTCTGTTGTTTTTGTAGTGCTGCCGATGAAGACAGGAACCACTTGTTTATTTTTGGATGTTCTCTCTGTCTATTTGCAATTTTGGAGGGCCATTTTGCAGCTTTATCTTGTTGATATTGTTCCTGGAGGTTGGGCGACAAAAGTTACCTGGGCTTGTTCTGTTTTTGGAGGAAAGGCATTCCCCAACCTGTTGTTTAAGTTCTCTTGGTGTGCTTCTTCTCTACTGTATTTGGATTGTCAGGAACAGTTATCTCCATAACTCCTCTTTTGCTGTGAGCTCTTCCTCAATTCTTACTCAAATCAAGAGATTGATTGGAGATAAAGATTGGCATTTGTGTCAATGTCCAAAGAAAGGTGTCTATTGAAAGGCATAAAACTCTGAGTTGCAACTGGGGACTTGATGGTATGATCTCTCAGTTTGGAGCAGGATTGCTCAGCCTGCTTTGCGATTTGTTGTGAATAAAACCTGAATTATGGGGAAAAAGAAAACATACTGATTTTTTTAATTATCTTTCAAATTACCTAATTTCTCGAAATAAGTGCAGCAACAAGAGGTTTTGGCTATTGGTTGATTGAGAACTTAAGATTTTAGTTTGGTTAATTTTTTTTTTTGGTAAGAAGATTTTAGTTTGGTTAATTGAGGACTTAAGGATTCAAAAAGGCACCATCAAAGTCTCAGGCTCGCCGATGGTGGAATTGAAGCGTCCGAAATGACACGCAGTAAATGCCCCAATATTCTACTTTGGGAGCCAAGCCGAAGTTATGATGCTTGAATTCCACTTAGAGCGAGCACGAGATCTGATTGGAGCTTTTTAAAGTCCTCTGTTAATCAAAGTACAATCTTAAACCTATAATTGAGCAACGGTCAAAACGTTGAGTCCTTTTGCATTTACCGATAAGTTATCAGTTCTTATACACTTACTAACTCTTTTAGAAATATGTACGCCAGAGAACCACCCCATGTCAGTAGAATTGTCCGCCAAAGAACCGCCCGAAGAGATGATGTAAAACTATCATTTAATTGGATATCCGCACTTCGCCGATGCATAAAGAAGGGAATGAAGTCTGTGATCTAAATGGCAAGTTCCTTGAAGCTTCAAGTCTAGTTCCAGCTTGAATTCAGACTATTTTAAAGTTGAATTCAACTTGAACATATATACCTGTACGTTCCAACTCGTCAAACTTTGACCACATCAACTTCAAGTTGATATATATCACGAACATCGCTCCTGATTGGGGTATTACGTTCTTTAAAGGGATGATGACATAAATGATTCATGAACTTTCACTCAATATGCAATGTGATACCGAATTTTAGTCAAATGTACAATGTAATCTCTGAATTTTTAATTTGTTCAATGTGATCCGTGGATTTTTTATACATGTTTAATATAATCTGTGAACTATATGAAAATATGCAATATTGTTTATCCATTAATTCAAGACCAATAACAACATTGAATATTTTTATATAATTCATGGACTTAATTGAATATGTACAAAAAATTCAATGACCACATTGAACAAATTAAAAGTTCAGGGACTATATTGTACATTGGGCTAAAGTTTAAGGACAACATTGAACAAATTAAAAGTTCAAGGATCACATTACATATTGGGTCAAAGTTTAAGGATCATTTGTATCATTTTCCCTTTCTTGAAAACATGGTTTTAGAGTGAACTTAACTTCTATTAACGACATTGTCTTTTTAGCAAAAAAAAAAAACACGACATTGTCTTTATTTACATGTTTTACTTGAATGTTTTTCCATGAAAGTTATCGACCAATATCTAATAGAAACATTCTTGTGTACACTATCAACAGATCCTATTCATGTGGCTTTGATCAATCCCCTGTCAGGTCAATCATGCTTGGATCACCCGTGCGGTTCGGTGAACTATGACAATGAACGCGTCCATTCGAGCCTCATTCGAGTGAGATAATAGAGCAATGAGATTAGGATCAACAAGCCATTCTTCGGGAAGTACGATCCTATGCTTACAGTTACTTGCGAGCGTTAATATCACAAAAAACTCCAAACTAGTACATCTATAATAAATTTACCCTAAACTAATTTTTTTACCACCAAAAACTCCAAACTGGTATACCTATGATAAATTTGCTCTCCGTTAGTTTCCGTTAATTATTACCGTCAATTTGCTGAGTTGGATGACACGTGATTATTGATGGGTATACTGATTTGAGGTTTTACCATTCGTTTATCACAGGTGTACCAGTTTGAGATTTTTCGTAGTACTAATTCAATTTAACAGAGGGTAAACTTGTCACAGGTGTACCAGTTTTGAATTTTTGGTAGTCAAAAAATTAATTTAGAGTAAATTTATCAAAAATGTATCAGTTTAGAGTTTTTTGTGAAAATTTATCATAAAAGTACCGATTTGATATTTTTCGTGGTATTAATCCTACTTGCAATTTGCAAAGCGATGAAAGTCATTACAAGCGATATTCATGAATTATGACTGAATTCTTATACGTGTGTGTCTACAAATTTCTGGAGTATGATTGATGAAAATGTACGGATTCCTGTGACGCGTGGAGATTCTGAGCTTTCTCAAGAATACATGAGTTTTACATTCAGTGGAGACCACTTTTCACTTTCGCATTAATGCTTATTTTGACCCTGTTTACACAAATGTCAGTTTCTTTATACTAGTATACAACTCCAAATCCTAAATTCTCTCGCCTGCCCAAAACACTTAAAAGCCAACTAAAAACCAAACCATTCAAAACCCTAAGCAAGATAGTAAAATCACTTTGCAAGTGATCGTTGGATCAAAAGTGAAGTGTGACGTGGAGACGATTTCACGTGACGAGTCGGCTAGTCCACTCTACTACACACAAATAACTCAGGAACAAGAGAGAGTGAAAATATTGAGTTCACATACACTAGAGTTCCTTCGGATAATTCGAAGATATAATAACAGTTCTTATGTATTAATCAACATGCCCAAGTCAAACGTTGCTTTTTATTATGGAATTGAAGGCATAGACATTATAGGAAGTGAAACTTAGGCCAATGCCGATACTATGTAAAAGCAGGGTATCAATCTTGCTGAGAACTTCAGAAATCGGTATCATGAAAGGTTGTACAGTGCGTGCTTGCAGAATGTAAAATGGAAGAGTATACAGCACTCGGAGAGTGATCGGACGTTCGGACACCTCGGTGAAAACCTGTCGATTTGCACGTATCATAGAAAGTGCATTTAGCCATTCTTGTCTTTCACAAACCTTCTTGTGCCGACTTCCAACGCACCTATGGCCCGAGAAACGTAGGCACTTTCAAAGAAGAAGAGAAGGCCTAACATGAACGTGAAGAGCACGTCAATAAGCCAGGATGACCTGCCTGGCGACCCTGCAATCATTCCCATCAGTCGACTAGACCAGCGACCATGATCGAAGCCTCATGCAAGAAGCAGGCAAGTCATCCTTGGCTAACAAACAGAACTCGTCACCTCATGTAAGGCCTCTCTTCCTCGCAAAACCATTTCAATTCCTCTCACTGTGTGATGTGATGAATAAATAGGACAGAAAAAGTTGTATCTTCGAGGAGTGGTTGCTTTTAGAAGGAAGAAGAAGCCTAACAAGAAAGACAAGAGACTTTCTGACTAGCCAAGGAGACTGCCTGATGCTGGCACGAACTACTCGAACCCTCAACTCGAATAGATCGACTTCGGAGCAGGCAAGTCATCCTTGGCTACCAAATGAGACTCTTGTCATCATGTTAGCCTCTCTTCTTCTTCTCCGACTCAAGTCCAATGCTTCAATTTGCTTCCACTCGTGTCTCTATTTATAGGGAATGGAAGCGAATATGAGATCAGATTCCAAGGCCCACCAATATTTTAGTAGGACCTCCTTGAGTCAATTTGTCTCATACAAATCTTCTCTTTTGAATTTTTCTTTCTTTTTGATAAGCCAGTAATAATTCTAATCACTCTCTTAGGTATGACCAAGCTATGAGAATCTATTCTTTATTTGAGCAGGTCTTACAGGTGTGTAATGTTTAGTGAACTGAGCAAAAGAGCCCGCCGAAAATTTATAAGAAGATATCGATGGATGGTTATAAATCAGGTACTCATCAGTATCATCCTGTTACATTTTCCTTAAGTCAACTTGGTTAAAGTTAATATTCCTGGGCTTTAGTTGCATGTCAAAACAAAAAAAAGTGTACTTCGTGTAGTTCTTGAATGTCAATGCATTTCATGGACCACAAACCCAGCTTGGTAATGAACTATATCAGATGATTTTTTTGGTGATATTTATCCGAATAAGTTGATTAAATGAGGTCCTATATGATCCAGAATTTGAACTTAGTATTTACTTGTATGCGAGAACTGCTTGAATGTGCCGACGCTAGATATGAGGGGCGAAAAGAAAAAATAATTTGACAAATCCTACAGAATAAGGGTACTATTTTGGTCCAAAAAGCGAAGCTAACTATGCGGCTTTTAGCTTGAAACAAGAAACAATTTGATTCTCTATACCCTCAACTCTTATCCTCAACAATGGGTTTACAGGTGTCTCTGTATCTGACCCTCACAATACCTCCACATGGAAGGTTTCTGACCTTTCTCCCTCAAAAGCAGCACGATATCTAATCCAAAAGGTTCTTGTCTTGAATTTCGATTCTTGACTAGTGTTGAATTCTATTATTAAGCCATCTTTTTTCAGTGAGAGAATTCTTCGCAAACAGACTGATGGATCCTCTTATCCCTCAATTCGTTCGTTTCTTTTTGGGTTCGTACATTGATCCAAATGCCATGGAGACATCAACTTGTGAAAGATGCCCTCCAGAGGAAAAGTCAATGACCGCCACTAAACATAGGGTTCTTTTTTTGGTGCTGATTGACTTACATCCTGCACTTTTCTTTAGCATTGAAATTCCATTTATTGCAATCCCTCCAAAGAAATACCCCGATGGGGACCAGTTAATTTAAATGTCGTGGACCAACAATATGATCCTCAACATCAATCAGAGTGAGAATATCACCAAAAAAGCAAAAAGAATGCAACTCTTTCGACAGTTGTAACTCTCTCATTCCCTTCTGAAATTTTCAATTTTGGAAAGCAAAGAGACATTTCCACGCGTAGCTCCACAAGTGCAGCTGAATTCAAAGGAAAGGCTTCGGAATTTAGGTTCCCAGAGATGTGCCTAGAGCTTCCAAACGGTGAGAGAAAGAGAAACACTTGAAGTAAGATGGTTCAGGGTTATGGTATGAGAGCGTGCATCGACACTGAATTAGACCTTCATTTCACCAATTGGAGAGCACTAGTGCAGAAATTGTTGTCAAAGCAAAGAGCCTTTTAGTTCTGGCAAGGTAGCCACGAAAGAGATGTGCGTGTTTAGAGAAGTCAGAACCCATGAATGTGGCCGAGACAAGGGTAATCGAGAATCGTGGTATGTTGGCTGCGAAAGAGATGTGCATGTTTAGAGAAGTCGGAATCCATGAATATGGCCGAGACGAGGGTAATTGATTCATATGCGAGACAAGGGTAATCGAGAATCGTGGTATGTTAGCTGCGAAAGAGATGTGCATTTTTAGAGAAGTCAGAACCCATGAACGTGGCCAAGACAAAGGTAATCGAGAATCATTTCGAGATAAGCTTTTACCCTGTCCATGGACCGAAGAAAAAATTAGTTTCCACAACTGTTGCCTGAACAGTACGATGTATATGTCTATGGTTGATTAGATCAGCTTATCCAATAGCAGACGAGTTAAAGATGGACACAGGACGATTTGTGAGCATCGTTTCTGGACGTAATTTTTCGATGAATTTTGGACAGAATAAACCTTCTTTGCATTACCAGCGCCACAATCGAACTGGTCAATTATCTGGTGCGAGCATACAGGAGTTAATATTCACCCATTTAGAAGAATGATTACATACGTGAGACTTAATGTTCCCACAGAGCTCTCTTGCAGAAGATCTTCAAAGCATACAGTTTTTTTTTTTTTTTGGTCAATCAAAGCATACAGTTGAACAGTTGAAAGGTAGCAAGCCAGAATATACGCAGGCAGATTTCATAAACATCACCTAACCCACAATATGATGGACACTAAAAGAACAAGACCACAGACGCCAAAAGAACTCTTACCTGTTATGAACAACTTGTCTACACACATCTACACAGATGTGAAAAAGACAAGCTCATAATGATTAAATAGGTAACTCCTCCATCTCCAATTAACAAAAATATTTAGACACGTCTAAAGAAGGCGAACTAAACTGTGATCTCTAGTGGAAGACGAAAAGGATTAGCAGAAGAAGAAACCAAGAGTCAATATCCCTCTTCCCGTGTCGAAACTCTTCAAAGTCACTCAAGGGGATGAGACGAGAGCTTGTTGGCGGATGTGATGGCAAGAGCTAGGTAGCAGAAGAAGGCCAAATATGAGAAAACAACCGAGACCATCACTTGGTTGCAGAACTTGGTCACTCTGTTGCAAAGGCCAAACCAACCCATTTTCTCCTCCCCGTAACGACCCACATATCCGATAGCCGTCCCCGCCGCACATGCAGATATCATCAGCACTGTTATTGCCTGCGTTGTCAGAACGAATTCACCGGCTGTATCCGAAAGTTAAGTTGAAGAAGCCATTTACGAGTTAACAGTCCATTTATTTAGTTACTCAAGTCCTCTTAAGTTAACCATTGGGGTTTGCCCCAATGGCCACCCTTCCTACTTGCGAAGGGGGTGGTGGGGAGTTCGATTCCCAACTTCTCAAGGGGGTTAGGGGTGGGGACGTATAGTTTCAGATGTGGGTTTCTGACTCCCATGCCCCGCAAGCTGAGAGTTAGAGTAGGATAGACCAAAAAAACAAAACAAAAAGTCCTCTTAAGTTAAGAATGAGCTTTCAAATATCTAGTTGACCAAGTCAAAACCACACAACAAGTTCACCAATGACTGATTCACCTACACTCTCGGACAAACGCTGGCTAGGTTTTCAAATAGTTTCATTTGTGGGTAAATGTTTGTACCGGCATCTATACTTTTCATCTCAATTAAGAAGTCGATCCCTAATCCTCCTCTCGGTATCAATTCCTACTCTATTCCCTGTGCTTGTATCTATACTCCTATCAACACGTAGAGAACCCGATCTTACTATAGCATTTACGGATACTGGATATGTATGCTAGTTCCCCTGAAGCCAATGTATGCCAAAATCATTGAAACAATACTTATTAGAAACAAGCGATGCTCTAACAGTTGATGATCATGTCTTGGCCCATGGTTGGGGCCTGATTGGCGATGGATTATGGAAGCGCTACAATTAAGAAAGAAAAGGGCCTTTAAATAGAAATATCACAGACTCGAAGACCCCAAAATTGTTATGGTAATTCTGAACTTTGAACATGCCCAGTAACCTTCACACTCTGAAGAAAACGAAAACAGTATATAACAAATATAGTAAGCGAACAAAAAGTTACCAAATCGTGCAAGAACAGGAAGAAGTAGTTCCTGGGATTCGATCCTGAACGACTGACGAGGCGAAGCAGAATCAGCGACAGCAATGAGAAGCCGCACACTACCGCATCCGCACCCAGCAAGAACCTGAAAAACACAACCCCCCATCAAAAGTCAATCCTTTCGTCATCGCTCGTCGCAGCGGATCGCAAATGGGTGCGCCGGCCGGCTCCATTCACTGTTCAGCTTTCTTTCACCTGAAAGCGGAGGCGTAGCTGTAGTAAGCTCGGAACTTGATGCCGAACAGGACGATGGACTCGTCGCTGGTGATCATCACCGCGAGCGCGGTCGACGCCGCGGCGAAGGCCAGCACCCTGAGCGCGGCCTGCGCGATCAGGAACCTCCGGCGGGACTTGCTCCACACGGCCAGGCATTTCACGGGGGAGGAGGAGCTGTTCTGCTCTTTCGCCGTCTCGGACGCCATCGCTCGCGAAGAGGAAAGTGCCTGGGAGAGCAAAGGAGAAAAGGCGCAGGTCGCAGATTTCACGGCTATTTATAGAGAGAGAAAGAGAGAGCTGGCTTCGGGGAAATTCGGTCGTGGAAATAGGAACAGGAGATCCGACGGCTTGGATTCATCCGTTGGCGTGATCGGGCGGCCTGCTCACCGCCTGATATTATGGACAAAGAAACGGGTAGTCCACAGTAGGGAGCGAGTGACGACGGCTCGAGCAAAATTTACAGAAAAAAGAGAAAAAAAATTAGAGATAAAACGAAAACAAATGACAATGAGAAGTTAGAAAAGGATATTCGTAGTTTGGATTTTGCGCGTGAATCTCGGTGCACTTCCTTTAACCAATTTATTTGAACAAAGATGCCCAATTGTGAAGTTTGATCCATCATAAATTTCTAAAATTCACATGTAGGAGACCGGTGTGTAAAATATCATAGTTTAGGTTTCGTTTCTTTTGCCAGAAATAAATGATTTGAAAAACATTTTCCCAAAAATGATATTCATCGGTTGAAATAATCGATCGATAATTTATGTCTCGATATTTTCGTGGACGATAAAAATATTTTTCGTTCGTTTATTTCTGTAATGTAAGCGATCATTTTTAAGAAAATATTTTACAAATTATTTATTTTTTGCGAAATAAACAGAACCTTCATATCGATTATTTTTTCCAAGCACAAAATCACTGACATGGGTAGTGTTTATCCAGCTTCAAAATGTGGGGAATTTTCTTCCTTTGAATATGGGTTTCTGAACTTCCTAGAGCGCTCAATTGGTATAGCCAATTTTGAATATTTGATTAGGGAAAAGAGAAGTTAGAATCAAGCACTTGAATATATATGATTGGTTAGGAACAGAGAAGTTTGAGTTTCAATCGAGTTTCGATTGGGTTTTGATCGGATAAGCATGTTCGAACTTTTTGCTAAACAAATAAATTTGAATTTGGTGCGCAGTTGATGCACAAATTAAGATATTGTCAGGCAGAAGTCCTTTTGGTTCCAAAAGGATTACTGATCAGGGGCATAAATTACTGATTTTAGATTTTATTTCCCAAATTGTAAAATCTATCTTTTCTGTAAGTAATTCTAATCTAATCACCAGACGTTAAACTATAAATCACAATAAGCGGAATAATTCGATATGCTTATCTACAAACCTTAGCATGCCACTGATGATATTGATGCAATTTCTGAGATTATTAGTGAAGTTAAGCAAGCTAAAGATCATAGTGTGGTGTGGCTCGATCCCATTGTTGGGGCCATTGTTTTCACGAGTCATCTCAAGCACCTACTGACCATCTGGTGGTAAATATAATTAGGCTTGGATAACGTGCATTAGTTGCGATGATCACTTCCTGAAAACTAAAGCTCACCATCCACCTTATAAAAAATTCCAAAAAATGATAAAGAAATATATATATCTTTAGTGTTTTATAAGAATTGGGCATTGGAAGGCACGATTTGCTATTGGCTGGGTATTTTGAAGCGTCGATTGGTTTCTCCTATCTTCTGTTCAACAAGCGATCTTTTCGGAACTTCTAGTAAGTCGGGGTCAGTGCATGGGAAAAGGACACAAATAATTTCTAAACTTTTAATTTATTTAACGTGTTTCCTGAATTTTATTTAATGTTCAATATGGTCCCCAGACTTTTAAACATATTTTCATATAGTTTAAGGACTACATTAAACATTTACCTTCATGGACAACATTGAATAAATTAAAAGTCAAGAGATGACATTACATATCGAGCTAAATTTCGAGGATTATATTATACAAATTGAAAGTTCATGGACCATCTGTATTATTATCCCTAAGTGGGTTCTTGTATCTAAACCAAAAGACTTCACTTTTCTTTGATTTTACCAAACATCTAGATGATATACTTGGTAAGTCATGTGCTATAAATATATCGTTTTGCGCGTTTTTCATCGGTTTAAGTTCTTAAGAAAAGCCGTTTGTTTAACATAGTATCAAAGCACGGATTAAAAGTGCAAATCCTAACGATCTCTTGTTTACTATTCATGGTGTTCTACTTGCTTTTCTTTTCCTGTAATTCAAACTTCAAGAAAAAAAACGGTTTGTTTAACAATGTTAATGTTCCAACCGCCCCATCGAGGTGTGAAATGGCTCCGAGGCCATTTAGTTCACGAAAAACATTGGAAAGATCAATGTACCCCGAAAAAGGACAATCCGAGTCACTTGGAAAAATGCTATGAAAATCAAAACACTTTAGCTTGTGTGAAGATGTAAAATGATCTTATGCAATGAATTAACTCACTAATCTGTATCCCTATACGTCAATAGGATCCTCTCTACTCATATCAAGTAAGTCCGAATACACGGTGCATAAGGTAGATCCCCAATTTCAAGATATATATCGCTACAACTCTCATAGCCCAAAATTTTCTTCCCATGTTTAAGTGCTTATACACATTTTTGTACGTATGTACCAATGCATATGTGTCGATAGTAGAACTCAGGAAGAATAAATGCTCTTTTAATTTCACTGAAGCTCGGCTTCAATCTAGGCCTCATTTAGTGGGGCTCGATACATTCGTGGGCCTAACTCACATGGAGGCCCATTCTTGGAATCTTGGGCAATAATATGACACGATCTTTAGTCAAAGATCGGAGTAACAAAGCCATAAGAATTCGAGTGTTCAACCATATTCAACCATTTTCGGCAGCCCATCTATGATTAAAAAAGAATTATCGCGTGCGAATTTCTTTTCCCAGTGAAATTTCGAGCGCTTAATTAATCGTTATCGGGTCGAAAAAGCCGTAGACACCGAAGCTCGTGGTTTCTTAGGCGATGCTTTTGGGTGTATAGCTAACAATTCCTTTTGAGTTTGAACGTTGGGCAAGTGTTTCTCCCCGCGTGAGTATGTAAAAACACTGCAATCAATTGAGCAAGCTTATTCTTATAATAGCGCTTGCTTAGTTTGACATTTAAGGTGACCATTTTGATGTTGTCGTTTACTTACGTGGGACTGGTTTGTCTGCCGAAGATTCCTCGTAGGTCCGTGTTACGAGTGGGAGTAGCTGTGTAGCAGGAATTCCTAAAATGACGTGAATTGTCCAGTTTTACCCGGACCTGTCCATTTAGCTTTTAGAGCGGCCGTGATCGACGGAGGGGATGTTGTGTCCTTCCGTCGTTGGTCAAAACTCCAACCTCACATGCCCCTCTGCCCACAGAAATCGAACAACAAAAAACCGCCTAGCAATATCGCCGCCGGGATAGGACCGGAGAGTATCAGATTCGGAATTCAATTCCTCGTGAGCATCGCATATACATGTACATAGCAAAGAGGGGTGAGACAAAAAGAAAAAATCTCCCTACATGTCTCTCCTCTAATCTTTTTTTCTCACCGGACCGCCATTATGGCTGTCGAAAACCATTGCAGCGGCCATCGCCAAAGTGATCTGTTTGTAGCCTCCTCGCAACCACAAATCGACATGAATCGATACGTGATCACGGTAGGTCCACGGTCTGGAATCGACGATCAAGATTTCGAAGCTGACTATATTATCATCTGAATTTATATTATCAATCAAGAGAACTGTAGTTTTCTTTGTCAAGTAAAATAGTGGCGCCGAAATTGGTCTCATGGTGAAGACATATGTACACACGAGTCATTACTCGCGACGAAAATAAACGAGGACCGAAATTTCCAAAATCGTTATCTAAATGACAAAGAAGTTACATCGCTGGTGGCTTTAGAACTCGAAATGGTAATCATTTTGTACTATAAAAAGCAAGAATGATAAGACAAACATGTTAGATGGCGTACGCCATTTCATTTCATTTCATTTCATTAGAAAGGGTGGTTGCGTTGACATATAATAATTTTAGATGTTAGGCACACAACTCTTGCGGGACTCGATCGATGTTGACCGGATCGTCCGCATCAGAGAGTCTTGGTCGTTGCCGTCTCGCATCGGGGACAATGTTCAACACTGAGAGGACTCTAGAGTCTAGAACACGGGTCTAAATCAGTGAATCACAGTCATCCAAGCTGTCATCTTCGAGTATTTCATTCATTAAGTGGCTGATGTGATGGGCAAGCTATTTCAATGTACTTCAAATGTCAATGCAAAATAAATACTAGTTAATACTAAATATCCCTTTTCTTGTTGATTTCGCTCCTCTTTCTCACAAGAATTGACCTCTGGACCGGATACACTTCAACTTCACCCTTCAATCCCTTTATTAGTAGAGCGACAAATACTAAATAGTCTTATGGGTATATATTTATGTGCGTAGGTGAATCGCAATAGAAATACGTGTGATTCACAATATTAGCATGACTTGTTCGTAAATCAGACGCATCACATTGCTTATCTTTGTTTAGTAAGTCCCCAATTCCCTAGCAGTTGTTTAAGGATGCGTTGTTTGTGGACACTTTGCAAAAGTTTCGATCCCATAAAGTCATTTCGATGAAAATTGTTTGGTAAATTTTCTCCACTACCTTCAAGTCAAAATTGGCTTTGAGAAAACCCAAGGCAGGTTGCGCATTGCTTTGGCTTTGGAGCATTTTCCAGAATGGGAATAGAGTTTGATGAATTTTTTTATCTTCCAACCTTGCCGCGACGGAAATGTGGGTGGGGGTCCCTTCGGTGAAGCTTCGTCGGGGGTCCACAGCTGAGCTCGATCTATTCCGACAGATCTGGCCAATGGAATTCGAATCTCAATGACAAGGCAAATGACAATAATAGCGCGACCTCGACCTCGACCTTGAGCACTTGCCTCCGTGACTTCAACGGTGGATGAGAGTCCAGAGAGAGGCCAAGCTAGATCTCTACGGACCAGGTAAGACACGGATCTCGCTGGCGACACCATGCCTAGGGAAGCACAACCCTTTGCGAAAGCGAAGCAGCTGTGGCCTGACGGACCTAAGGCGACGAGCTTCACACTTCCCCTTCTTTCTTTCTTTCTTTTCATTTTTAACTTTTAGTTTATTTTAAAGTTGCTTTACAAAAAGTTCTAAAAATATCAATCATCAAACACTCTTGAGTGCAGGAATTTGCC